AACGATTAAAAAGTATGAATTACGGGTGAAATGTACGTAATATTGAAATATACGTGAAATTTTCTGGAATATTGTGTCAAAAATTATGTTTTCAAAATTTTTACCCTTGTTTAAGGTCCCGGAAAAATTTTCGGAAACGAAATATTAATTAGTGATTGCCCTTACGTCAACATTGCCCCCCTGTGCCCTACCCTCGCTCCGGCGTCCCTGGTCTCGACCTTTAATGTGGAAAACGAAACTCGAATTGAAATAACTCTTGACAGATTCATTGGCCTATTAAAACAAGAAAGATTTAATTAACTACAGTGATATTACTGACTTGCTCAATAATTTTCGAAATGCACTTAGTTAGTATACTATTAATTTGCTACAAATTCAACTAACTATTTTTATTTAATTAAGTCTGGTTTCCATATGGTCATAACGATTAACGATCGTACAGATAGAATCACGATCTTTCTCAACGGCCAGATTATAATAGTTTAGAACTGTAAACCACATATAAATCATAAGTATTCTCTAGTTAAAATAACTCTGCCTATCAGTTTCAGTTCTAAACTGTTGTATTTCGGCTGTTGAGAAAGATCGTGACTCAATCTTTACGATCGTTACAATCATATGGAAACCAGGCTTTAATTTATTTAATTGTTTATATTTGTCATTTTAGGTTACCGTTACCTGCATTTTTCTCTGTTTGTTGAGGCCGTTGCTGTTGGAGCATTTGTAACTTACACAGTGTGCGGTTACTATACAGGACTTTCTTTTCCAGGGCTTCTTGGTGTATCTCTCTTTAATGGTGTTGTTTTTGCCGTTATTTGTGTTCTTGTGACGATCTTTGGCCTTTTCCTATCTGGTTTCACCATGGGATTCCTCATCTGCCTTGCTCTATTCATGGCAATATCTCCGCTCGTTGATATACCTTCAAAATGGATCCCATTTGGGATCTTACTCGGGCTTGGTTTGGTTTGTGCATTGCTTATATTAAAATTCCAGAAAAGTTTAGCAATTGCTTCAACAGCAATGTTTGGTGGTGTTCTAATAAGCATTGCTGTAGATTTTTACATTGAAAAGTTCTTGTTGCTCACGTATGCTTGGAAACGGATCACTGTAGAAAGTGAAGGGGAATCTTGCTGGTTTTCTTGGATTATCTTGGCTATTTGGCCATTGTTTTTTGTCGTTGGTTCTATCGTACAATTCAGACTCACCGCAAGATATGTCGATCATAAAGGAAAAGGTATAGTCTTCTATTATAAATATCATCGTGGAATAATTTCAAGACTTGCGCAGTGATTCCCCATTATAGCAGGACTTTAATACATTCCATTCGCGTTCCAATTTTCATCTTGATAGTCTTGTACAGTACATGTTACTGCGCATTATATTTACACAATTGTTTTGGTTGGTTGCTGGCCTACAAATAATTATTGATATCACATAATTATGACGTCACTATTGCAGATGGTAATATTTTTATACATGTATATATAAGCGCAGCTTTGCATGCAGAAGCCAGCAAAAGCCAGCTTGCGTACACGACGATATTTTTGCAGATTGTATATTGATAACCTGGAAAGTTCTTTGCAACTGTAGATGATGTTAGTAATATGTACCTGATTACTATGATCATACTTTTAGGTCATATATGTGGCGCAAACATGAAATAACTTCAGTATATCGGAATCTTTTATTTGAAGTTAAGTCCTTTCTTCAAAAAACACTAACTGAAGAATTACTAGAACCAAAAATAAATGCTGGAACTTTCCATGTTTATCATGTTGCATCCTCCTCGCCTTGCCAGCCTCGTGTCTTGTTACCCCTCTTTTAAGAGCCCCCTTGTTATCATTTCAGTTCTACACCAGGACGTATATCATTAGAGTACTTTGTCTTTTCTGCCAAAATATTGGGTTTGTTAATCTTCTTTTCAGATGATAAAAAAGAACATTTCTATGGAAGCGAGAAAGCGATAAAAAGATATCGCAACATGAACAAAAGTGGAGATGTTGTCACAACGGTTAGTACTTTATCACCAAAAAAGTAAATAAAATGAAGAGAATTTACTTCTATTGGTCTACATTTTATTGCTAAATTAAAGCCGACTTAATCTTTGCTTCACCGCTCGTCACAATTGTATAGTACTGGTGATAAACGCATGTTGTGCAAAAGGAACAGTCCTCTGTAACGGATCTGCTAAACTCAATGCAAAATCGTGGCCAGGTTTAAAAAAAATCTCACGAGGGGCCATTTGTTTTATCATGGGGGCACAAGCTCAGAGCCTCTAATCAGGTCAATGGTTGTTAGAAAAACAAAGCGAAGGTGCCAAAATACGGCATGTGAATTGCCAATTCAAAACCACTACGAGCATGAGTTGAAGTATATAATGTATATTCCTAGCAATTTTGTCGGAATCAATAGAAGTTTGATTTTTTTGAAATAAATAAAATAAACCACTAGTGGGTTACATTTTAACCAGGGTCAGCGTTAATCAACCTTTTAGCTAACCACCATCCAACAAATGGTTTCAGGATGTTAGAATGCTCTATAATTTACCACTGGTACCAGATGATAATAACACCAAAATTTTTCACTGATCTTTGAGATCAGTTACGTCAATATATATATATTTTGACCACGGTTTTGACACTAACTATATAACAAATATATATATATATATATATATATATATATATATATATATATATATATATATATATATATATATATATATATATATATATATATTGGAAGTATTTGACAGTAATATCTATATATATATATATATTGGAAGTATTTGACAGTAATATCTATGCATATTCCACTTTATATTTTTGTTGCTCCCCCCCCTGGGCACCTCTGAGGAAAAGGAAAATTTTGCCAGGTTGGGTCTGTTACAGGGGTGTCATCACACAAAAAGAATGGATATATGTATCACAATATAATTAATTTCCGTTCACTGCAACTGGGGTCCGATTTATGCACTATATGGAGTTCCCCGGGATTCCTGTCTCTTCCTACGGTAACACTGAAACAATAAGAGATGACATTTGTAAGAGCTCTGAAGACAAACGTTTAGATAAGCATTTTGAAACGGTTTTTCGGAAATTCAAGAACCGTCGGTCTTTACTGTTCTTCCCCGAGGCCGATGCTGAATCCCCAAGGTGGAAGATTTAGGTAGGACTGATAATTATCAGTGATAAAGTTCTCTAATATAGAAAAACTTTAGTTTAGTTTAGTTTAGCATTTACTAAAAGTGTTCTGAAATTTGTTGTCTCACTCCAGTCGTGGCTACGAAATAAAAGAAAAGAACCTGAAGAAGAAAGGCAAGATCAACTTATTGAAGATACCACAAATGTTTAGTTTGTCAAGCATTCGATTAAAATCTTATAAAGCCTGCATGAAAATTGTCTAAAAATACACCATTAGTTTTGTGTCAGTCATCTGCAAAGAAGAATTTACTTAGAATTGGAAATGCAATCAGCTAGAAATTTCTGTTGGTTTGAAGGAACAATAGGAATAATGAACAAGAGGTTTTAACTTGAACATTTCTTTACAAGACGATTCTTTGTTGTTTTTAATGACAAACATGCATGTTGATAAAACCATGGATTGTAAAATAACTGGATAGGAAACTTCCTGACGTCACAGTCTAAACCTATTTGCAATCTGTGACGTCATGTGTATTGCCAAAGTTCTCAGCATTTTTGTTGTTTCGCTGTATTTTCCGCTTTAAAAGAGTAATATTGAATTCGAAGCATAAACTGGTCTAATTGTTTTAAAAACATGCCTAAGCCACGACAAAGTATTCAAGGTAAATATTTTTCGTCTTTGTTTTGTATTTTTTAACATTTGTAGCTACGAAATTGGCGTCGCCAATTTTTACGAAATTTGCGATGCATTTTTCACTGTTTAGAGTTTGAAATATTTGCTAAAATTGACCGGGAATACTGAGAGATTTCATTGTAGAATGGCGCAGTTATATTTATTTGCTCTTTGACTCAAATGTTTAGCTGTATTATCGCTAAACATGCCGTTTTTGAGAATTTGGTTAGGTCACGTCAGCTAGTTTCCTATCCATGTATTTTATTATCCATGATAAAACTATATATAGACCATTTGTTTAATTGATCGATTGGTACCATTAAATTTAAATCATTCAGAATCGTATCCATGCAGCACATAGCCCCCCCCCCCCGTCACATAGCCCCCCCCGTCATTCTTGTAAACACAGACAGTAGCAAAACGCAACATTTTTTCGTAATGTTGAATAAAATATTCAGACGAAATTAAAGAATAAAGTCAACTTAGTCAAGGCTATGTTCCATGCAGTAATTCTGCAAATGGTCTATATTGTAAGTGTATATAGATATATACGAAGCAGTTCTAAATATTTTCTGGTACAGTTGTATAATTCTACTTGAAGTTTCTAAAACAGTGAAAGAGCATCAGTGCATGGAACAGTTAATTAATTAGTATCAAGATCTAAGGACAATTGTTAATATACACTGCGAGGGTTTCTATATATAGTAGATTTTTATGTACAGATATTATTCATAACTTGTACAAGTTGTAAAATATTTATTTAAAATTATAATAAATAATATAGCGTAGATCATTATAGAACAAATTGTCAAATAGTCTGCGTGATATCTATTCCTGGCGATGCATTAAGAATGTATGGCTTAAACAACTTAAAAAGCCTGTGAGATCACCATAACCAACTTCTTTATACATACAGGAACAAGCAAATTCATGCAAACCGAATTACATCTCTCTATTCTGCTCTCCGTTAAGTTAGTTCAAAATACAAGAGAATCCCCCTCGGCGGGTAACTACAGATAAGGCTTTAAGGGACCGGTCATAAAGTAAAAGGGGGGTGGGCTGGAAAAATCATATATTTGGAGTCTACACTTTTGGTAGCCCACCCCTTAATAGCTGCACGAAAATTGGTGGCCCACCCTTAAATTGGTGCTGAAAAATTATGACCCAACCTTTCCGAAAGGCAAAAGATACCAGCGTTTTATTTTTCTGTTGCCAAATAATTATGTTACAATACTCAATAGCTATTCAAAGTCTTCAAGTGGTGCAATTAAAATTCAGGGCCTCTTTTAATTAAGGATGTGTGTAACTACAGGGGACATATTTAGCGGGGGACCTGGAGAAGTTCCAGTCAGCGAGTCTGTATCACTGCAGCTACCAGCGTATATGTGCATGGTTTAACTAATACGTCATAGGGCAGCAGATCAGGCTGTAACTAGGATTCTGAGACAACCCAGTCGACCACCGAAGGTGCGAGCTTTTAGAGGGGCCTGCATGGGGGGCAAGATCCCTGGAAAATTTTGGATTTCTTGAAGCTCAGATAAGCTATTTCCCACATTTTGAGGAGTTTTCCAACAAGAAATTAACCTAGTTACGGGCCTGCAGATGATGGTCAAATTCGGAAATGTTAAAAACTTAACATCGTTTTCTCACTTTGATACATAATTGCTGGTTGACTACCAACTGCAGATAGTTCTTAGGGACCTCACTGGGGGACAAAATTGCCGACTGCAGGGGCCAGTAAGAGTGCTGGGGGGACATGTCCTCCCAAGTCTATTTGTTAAAAGAGCCCGGAATTAAATACCGAAAGGTCTTTCTTTGCATGGAACCTCCCATGTATACTGCATTATGCAGTATCTTTTTCATAATTAGAGACCATTAGTTTGACATGTACAGCCAACGCCAAACCGCTAACGATGATTGTGATTTAACTACGCTCTTGTAGACTTACACCAAGCTCGTGACATTTAGCAATACCGGTAATGATTATCAGAAAATTAGTTAGCCACTGCTAACGTATCCTGATACGTTTTATTTCTAGTTTTATAATATGAATTTATACATATTTTTACATGGCCCACCCTTATGATTGCACTTAACTTTCGATGACCCACCACTTCAACTGTGGTCAAAAACAGGGACCCACCCCCTATTTTTCCCAGCCCACCAGCCCCTTTTACTTTATGACCAGTCCGTAAGCTGAATGTTTATGCTGAACATATTCAACGGCATAAAGATCTAAGATGAATAGTTATGCATGCTGTTGACTGTCTTCGGCACAACCATTGGATGGTTGTGCCGTTGATTAATATTATCTTCGGCATAACCCATTCAAACATATTCAACAGCATAAACATCTCAGTTGAATGCTTATGCCGAACATATTCAACTGCATGAACATCTAATTTGAATGGTTATGCCGTTGACTGTCTTCAACATAACCATCCAACTTGGATGGTTATGGCGTTAATTGTCTTCAGCATAACCATTCAAACATATGCAACGGCATAAACATCTAAGTTGAATGTTTATGCCGAACATATTCAACGCATATCAAATTAAATTGTAATAAATGCTTACAATAGTCTAATAGCTTATTAGTTGTAGTTATAACTTATAAGCGTTTATGACTACTTAATGTTTTATGTAGAACCATCCAATGTTAAATCGCATAACCATCGAATGCCTATACTGAAGACAGTCAACGGCATAGCCATCGAAGTTGAATGGTTATGCCGTTGACTGTCTTCGGCTTTATCACTTTCGGCTTTGCATGCATGGAACTTGAAATGTGTCGAATACTAATTATGCAGTTTAGAAGAAAAAGGTTATGGTGAATAAATTGCGATTAGATTTCAACAACGAGCAAGTGGTCTAGTGGTAAAAACTACATGTAGGTTGTGTAATGTAACATCGTGGTTCAAGTCCTAAACTAGTCATTTTGTGACCTGAAATGCATAGCATATTAATTATGCAGTTTAGATGAAAAAGGATATGGTGAATAAGTTGTGGTAGGCTTGCAACAACGAGCAAGTGGTCTAGTGGTAAAGACTAGATTAATTTTTCTGCATAATTTTTTCAAAGAAATTTCAAAACTTTCTGGCAAAAATTTGAAAACCCTTTCTAACAATCAAAAAATTTTTGACTGTCTTCGGCATAACCATTCACTGAAACATGTTCAACGGCATAAACATCTAAGTTCAATGTTAATGCCGAACATAAGTTGAATGGTTATGCCGAAGACATGCATTCAACGGCATAACCATCGGATCGTGAATGGTTATGCCGAAGACAGTCAACGCCATAACCATCCAAGTTGGATGGCATAAACATCTAAGTTGAATGTTTATGCCGAAGACAGTCAACGGCTTAACCATCCAAGTTGAATGGTTATGCCGTTGACTGTCTTCGGCATAACCATTCAACTTGGATGGTCATGCCTTTGACTGTCTTCGGCATAACCATTCAAACATATTCAATGACAAAAACATCTAAATTGAATGTTTATGCCGAACATATTAGACGGCACAAACATCTAAGTTGTAAGTTTATGCCGAATATATTCAACTGCATAAACATCGAAGTTGAACGGTTATGTCATTGAATGTCTTCAGGATCACCATTCAACTATATAGGATGGTAATGCCGTTGACTGTCTTCGGCATAACTATTGGGTGGTTATGCCGTTGAGTATCTTCGGCATAACCATTCAAACATAGTCAACGGCAAAACATCTAATTTGAATGTTTATGCCGAACATATTCAACGGCATAAACATCTAAGTTAATGGTTATGCTGTTGACTGTCTTCAGCATAACCATTCAACTTGGATGGTTATGCCGTTGACTGTCTTCGGCATAACCATTCAAACATGTTCAATGCATAACTTTGTGACTTTCGGCTTTGCATGCATGCATGGAACTTGAAATGTGTCGAATATTAATTATGCAGTTTAGAAGAAAAAGGTTATGGTGAATAAGCTGCGATTAGATTTCAACAACGAGCAAGTAGTTTAGTGGTAAAGACTACATGTGGGTTAGCTTGGGTTGTGTAATGTAACATCGCGGTTCAAGTCCTAAACTAGTCATTTTGTGACCTGAAAATATAGAATATTAATTGTGCAGTTTAGATGAAAAAGGATATGGTGTATAAGTTCTGGTAGGCTTACAACAACGAGCTAGTGGTAAAGACTAGATTAATTTTAAGGGATAATTTTTTTCAAGAAATTTCAAATTTTCTGCCAAAAAAATCGAAATTCCTTTCTATAGCAATGAAAATTTTTTGGACTGTCCTTGTTATAACCACATAAACATCTAAAAGTTGAATGTTTATGCCGAACATAAGTTGAATGGTTATGCCGAAGACATTCAACGGTATAACCATCCAAGTTGAATGGTTATGCCGTTGACTGTCTTGGGCATATCCATTCAACTTTGATGGTTATACCGTTGAATGTCTTCGGCATAAACATCTATTATACATATATACTAGACAGCTGCGGTATGAAAGAGATTGAACAACCTGCATAATAAGTAGAACTTCATATATGTTATATTTTTAGATATTTTACATGTAAAGGTTGTTATATCTCTCTACACTGGCACTGACAGTTCGAGTGCTTACTAAAACCCACCATACAAAAACATAGGCAGCAGAACCGGGATGGGCATAGCATGAACGTGTCAGCTGCCTGAAATGAAAAATGAGCAAAACGATTTTCAAAATTTCCCAGGGGAGCATACCCCTGGACCCCTTAGAGTTTGTGTAGCTACCCCAATCAAATAAATTGTACATTGGCCACTGTAAAAACATGTAAAAATCTCACAACTGCTTGTTGCAATAACTTGCAATGACTTTAACAATTTGTTGGTGGTAACGACTGGGTGGCGAAACAGTGGTTACTCTGGTTACTCTCGAGTTGTGCATTTTTCGTGTAACATGTGTAAGGGAACAGGAGCTAATCGATTATAGTCCATGCAGGTAAGATCAGTCCGGGTCGTAACTAGACGCGATAATTGGGGGGGGGCGGGTGGGGGATCATATTCATATACCGTGAAAACAATCGAGTTCAAAAGAAATTCGTCGGGCAGAACATGAATCTATGAATATGTACCCCCCCCCCAATTATCGTGTCTAGGTACGGCCCTGAGATCAGTTCGTTGCGAAAGGAAGCGATTATAGACATTATAGGTGTCTCAATTTTTGGATCAGTATCAGACTATCAGCGGATCTCAAGTATTTTTGATACATGAAGTATATCGTGTATAACCTGAAATTCTAAAACAGATCGCGGGCTTTTTGGAATTCTCAAAAAGTGAAAAATATTTATAAGAAACAACAGCGAAAGTGAATTTAATAGTTTTACAATTTCAGTTAAGGCTGCAAGAACAACAATATTTTCCAAAATGTCTTCTAATCAACGTTTGGTATTTTCAATTCTCGAATTTCTAAATTCGGAATGTGAATCTCGCATGGAAGATGAACGTGAAAGTTTAGAAGGTACGTGCTATATATTATTTATATGTACTAGCTGTGCAGCTCTGACAATTAATTAACCATTTGGTTAAATCAAGCAAACTTTCAGTTTCCAGCTTTGACCTTTACACTATAACCATATTGTAGTATAAAAGATTTGTTATAACCTGGGTGATAATCTAAACTGATCAATATCATCAATGTACTTAATATGTTTTTCTGAATAGAATTTTACAATCTATAATTAAATATGATTCAATTTAAGGTTAACTGTCGTTTTGTACTCCAGACTACAGTCATTTACCTTGGTTCCAGAGGCCCTTTGCGAGGCCCTCGCAAAGATTTTGCCTGGCAAAGAGCCTCATTTTGTACCTAACACCTTCATATCCCAGAGCCTGAAATAACATTCAAAATTTGTCTGGAAAAATGTCCGACCAAAATGAAATTTGATTGGCCATTGTTTCGATTCCATTTTGATTTTAATGCCTTCTCTGGGTAAATTAAGCCAATATATAACTAATACTTTATGCCAAACACTAGCCAGTATAGTTAAAATTTTACATTTAATGTTTTTTTCAAGAAGGTTGATTGCCGAAAAATATCTGACCGTTATTTCAGGCTCTGGTTGTTTCATACCCAAACTTTGGTCATTTCACACCCAACTCTGGTTGACTGATTGTACTATAAACACAGGGTTCGAATTAAAACTTAAAAGTGAATAGTGAATTTCTACCCATTCGACTCATGCAATAAAAAGCGAATAGCGAATTTCTACTTAAAGTGATCACGGTATTGCATATACAGTAAAAAAGGATTAAGCATTCGATCTTCAACCAGAAATGTAAAATGTAAAAGGGCTAGATCCCTTGATGGTGTTTTAAACTGTTGTTAGTTGTCAGTTTAGCCGTTTTGTATTTGTGTTGTTATACTTTGTCTGTTTCGTTAATTAATCAATTATTTGAACGTAATTTTTTATGTAAATATTAAGGGATCGCCGTAATTGGGGGAACCTGTGGCGAACTCCCTGGCACTACATTGTTGTATTTTTAGGTAGATGCCGAATCTTATTAAAACATTAAAACATTAAAGGCTGTTATAATAAGAAAGATTAAGCTGTCTTTATTTTTTGGTAGTTGTAATATAACGACACAGAAAAGTGAGAAAATGACGATGTAATAAAATTAAATAATTCCAATTTCCAATTATCACCCGTAGAAATTTGCACAATATATCTAAAAGAGTTTGGGTGATTCCAGCTAGATAGACTAAATTTTGATCAAGGCAAGAAGGACGAAATCCAACATCAGAGCTAGAAAGAGTGTCTTAGAATGAGTAAAACTGCAAAGATGTTGTTGCTACTGTAAATGGTGTAAAATGAAGAAAATATAGCCCTGTGAAGTTCGCAAATTTTGTATATATTTGTATTACGTGCAGTAAAAATAACCACTTTCGGCTCAAAAATGGTTATTTTCCCCACACATATTAATGCAAATATATGCGAACTTCACAGGGCTATATTTTCCTCATTTTACAACAATTCGCGACCAAACTTTGCAATTTTACTCATGAATCCTAAGATGCACTTTCCAACTATGGCAATGGATTCCGTTCTTCTTGTCTAGATCAAAATTTTGTCTAGAGCTGGAATCATTTTGATTTTGATTAAAAGGCATTTATTCAAGGTTAGAGCAAATTAAAGTACGGTACAAACAAAATACTGTACATAAGGCGTAAAAAAAAATACCTGTGGTTCCGGTTCCCAACCGACCCTATCCTATTTTTTTCTGCCGACCCTATTATTTTTTCAATGTGATTGACCGTGTGACCCTATTTTCTCTGGGTGGTTGCGGGCTGCTGCCAAAATGGCGTCTGTTGTCACACTAATTATTGAAAAAAACCATCATGAAAAAAATATTCAAAAAAAAATTATTTCCGACCTACCGACCCTATTTTTTCGCGATATGAAACCGGAACCACAGGTATTTTTTTTATGCCTAAAGTAAATATGGCAAAGCCCAGAACATCGTAGAAAGTTATTGAACAGTTTGATTTGGGTTTTAATTAAACCCAAGTGATTGTGAAATTCAAATCTGATAATAGTTGCATGAACAAGTAACATGACATTTGAACTTTCCTAAGTGAATTTTAACACATTTTAATTTATGCTGTCAGCTACCCCGGATTCCAGAGCCTTCAGTAAATAATAAATTGAAACGTTGTGAAGGCTCTGGTTCAACGGGAGGATTCTTTGATTAAACCGTGCCAATCACAAAACAGAATTAGTGGTTTTCGTACAGAATCTAGCTGTACTAATTAAAACTGTTGGCCTATCATATCAAACATTAACGAAAACACAGCTTGAGGCCATGAGGAAACGAAACAGAATTCTATTGTCTATTCAGAAATATCAGCGCAAATGAGAGAATGTTTCACCTCAAAATACACAAAGAAGTGTTTGAAAACAAACGTTTCCAATGTTATCCATTTTACTTCTTCACATGTGAAATCTTCCCAGGTTGAATAGTGATTTTTTTTTATATTACTGATTTACTGTATAGCCAAATGAGTAGCGAATTAATTAATTCGAACCCTGTAAAAACATAACAATTGATCAGATATAACTGTGCATAAAGTGTGTTTTCTATGAGTTTCACCTATGATAAATTCAAAAGAGTAAATAGTAACATGCAAATCAAAACTCTTTATGGAAAAGTGTCACACTAGTTGTTGCTGGATACGTTTGTTTGCTGTCATATAAATTAATTCTTTGCTTGAAGTTGGAAATTTGTCTTCAAGTTCATTTTGGTTCCGAACTGTCTTCAGGATGAGTATGAATTGACCAACCCTCAGAACAAATCAACCAAGCCTCAGAACAAATCAACCAAGCCTGGGTATGACAAACAAGGGAGTTGGGTAACATTGAGTTGGATTTGAGTTCGAGTTCGGCTTCGAGTTGGACTTCGAGTTGGACTTCGAGTTAAACTTCGAGTTGGATATTTTTCTTTACTTTTCGGGAAAATGACAATTGTATTTCACCCAACCTTTTTTGCTGCGGAGCGAGCGAGCCTGAACCAAATTTACACATATGGGGGAATTTATATCTTCATTATACCATTGTTTAACCGCAGCTGTAGGCCTACATTGTGGTCGTGCGCGATCGGAAATGCTCAGTAACCTTTTTGTCGGTTGTGCTTCCACAACACCTTGTGGTAATTTTGAGTTACAGATTACAGTTACAGATATTGCACCCCGCACACTCCCTATATCAGGGGTTTTCAGTGACTGGTTATATTAGGACCGAAACTGGCGTGAAGCAGACCGAGGTAGACTGTGAGCTTACAGATGGCGCTTTAAGCAGCCGCTATTAGTCCGTACCTCATTAATGAATAATGATCTGCCCCCTGACCTGACATGGTTTCCGCACAATTTTGAAATGTTATAATAAATCTTTTTACAGAGATACTTTTTTCATATCATGTACTTCATTAGTTCATTGTTTGTATTCTTAATTCGACACAAAAGCACTCGTACCCTAATTTATTTTATAGTAGACCGTGCCATACACCAAAAAATACACAGTGAGATATTTTCCATTTAACTAGATCTTCACTAGTGAAAATATCGATTAAGTGTTCATTTTCTTTGTTATTTTTACTAACGACTATATACAGTAATAAAAAGAACATTAAATACACGGTTGCTTGAAGTTTCATATCTTATTATTATTTTATCTTCTCGTGGTGACAACTGAAAACAATATTTTTTACTCACTCAAACGTAAAATTTATATCTTCGCACCGCCTTTCGCACAGACTGAATCAGCCCCCCCTGCCCCACTCTCCCACTGGAGCTGCGGAGAAACAGCAGACTAATCTCAGAGGCAGTGCCATTCTCGTACCCAGAGCCCTTCTTACGCGCGGTCAACGGAGCGCGACGAGGGGCTCTGGCCAAATCCATATCAAACTGGCATCTGATTGGCTACAACGAAGGTTATTGTTCTAATACTGGATATATTCTATTACCATGTTTTTATGATATCCGGTTATGGATTTGGCCAGAGCCCCTCGTCGCACCGCGCGTAAGAAGGGCTCTGGGTACGAGAATGAGGCAGTGCTGATCAGTCTGCTATCGCATACTACACCCTGTATCCGTACTCAGGCGTTTGTTTGTAAGAAAAACAGCGATGCTCATATGACGAGTTCACATGAAGTATTGTAGTACTACACCGCCGTCCAACATCCTCTATATAGTGCTCTCCTTGACCTTTTAAGACTAATAATGCAACATATCCTCACATGTAGTATTAGGGAGGCTGGACGCGCAGGGGCGGGAATATTAAAAAAAGGTAGTCATTTTTAGATTAGGATTAGATTAGAGCCAGATTAAGATTAAACCAGGGTTAGGGTTAGAGGTTAGAGTGGGGGTTGGGTGGGGGTTAGGGTTCAAAATCCCTAATACTACGTGTGAGGATATGCAGAATAGTACTGATAGTTTCGAATACATATTTTGAACGAAACAATACTTAAAATGTACAAATTTTAATATGTTCTTTTCCAAAATACACATAGTAATTACTGTATAAGATGTACAACAAAGTGCATTATAAAAATGATTTATAATAAAGTAAATTCACATTGCTACGTTTCATTCTCCATATAGAATTCCGATTGGTTCCAATTAGAATTCCGATTGGTTCCAATTAGAATTTGGGCCCAATTTCCAATAGAAAATCATTTGGAATTCCAATTGGATTTTTTGTAAGGGTGCCAACTGGGTATGAAACAACTTTAAACCATTCAAAATGTAATTGCCATAAACATCAATAGACAAGACATTTTTAACAGGAAATTAGGAACTTGCAAAGGTAACGGAATTTGCAAAGGTAATTAGCAGGGGTCGATCGATTTCGAAATTTTTTGCTGATCCGTTATTCTGTATATAGTAATCTAATATGCCTAATGGAATAGTAAACTTCATGATCTCAGTATTTCGTTTGTTTAGTAGAAAAAATTGGGTGGTTGGTATTAGTTTATAATATCACTGGTATGTTATTGAGAATAATTTTACTGTTACAAGTGAGTTACAACTTTGTTGATTTTGTAGTTGAGTTTTTGTACGTGCATTTGATTGATTCTTGTTTTGAAAATAAAGTGTTTGGTTTGTTCCCTGATATTCAGTTCTGAGGTCTTGTGGGCCTTATTGCATGTTTGTTTATTTGTTTACTGAGTTTTTCACACACTGGTGACCGGTTTCCTAACAGGCTATTGCCAAATTGTTAGGCACTCCTCTCTAATAAGCACTTCTCTTTAATAAGCACTCGTCTCTAATAAGCACACCTCTCTAATAAGCACTCTTCTCTAATAAGCACTCATCTCTAATAAGCACACCTCTCTAATAAGCATACCTCTCTAATAAGCACTCATATCTAATAAGCACTCATCTCTAATAAGCCACTCCTCTCTAATAAGCACTCCTCTCTAATAAGCCCTCCTCTCTAATAAGCACACCTCTCTAATAAGCACTCATCTCTAATAAGCACTCTTCTCTAATAAGCACTCATCTCTAATAAGCACTCCTCTCTAATAAGCACTCCTCTCTAATAAGCACACCTCTCTAAAGGCACTCATTTCTAATAAGCTCCTCTCTAATAAGCACACCTCTCTAATAAGCACTTCTCTCTAATAAGCACACCTCTATAATAAGCACTCATCTCTAATAAGAACAGTTCTTTAATAAGCACTCCTCTCCAGGAAGCCCAGACTCTATTTAGCTGCCCCTTTCTCATATGACCTCCTCTGTAATAGGGCCTCTCTCGAGTATACCCCTCACCTCACAACAATGAAATACTGTACATGTGCACTGATTAGATTTATTCATGGCAATTCACCTGGTTGTTCATGTTACCATGTTTTGGTTTTGCAATTCACAATACAGTAATCACAGTACTGCAAAGTTACGAGTTTACATTAGTACTTCAGTTCAGTACTTCTGATCAGTACTTTAGTAAGCAGTTTGCGAAGTTGGCTTTGCAAGTTCCAAGCCCAATATTCCAAATTAAAAATTGAATTGGGAATATTCACAACAAATTTGGGAACTGCACTTTGAAAAGTGACCTGAAATGGACAATAATGTTTGTTAATGGGCATTGCACTCCAATGGATACTTACAGTACTATAATACTCTGTCTAATGCTAGGTTATTTTATTACTTATTGGGCAATAATGGCTTATGTTCCATCATTTTCATTGAAGGATAAACAGTTGCATTGTCTATAAAAGGTCGTGTGTTTGTGGCAAGCATTTGGGGGTTTTAATTAGCTCATCCAATCAATGTGAGGCTAGTTAAGTGTGGTTGGCTGGTCAGGGTAAAACCTGCCAAATGCTTTTTTTGACAAGCATGAAAGTTTTGTTGTGAGCATAGACAATGTTTTTTTATATCTGTGACTGTAGAACTGCATAGTGGGTTCTTGCTACTGTTTCACTTTTATTGCTGAGGACTTCCAACTAATGAGTAAAATGACTTTCTAATAATAATTAGTCTGACATGAAATTAATCTGCTTTTATTTAATATGATTTGCAGTTGTGATAGAATGTCTGGAAAGAGTCTACAATGTTTCTTTGTCAAATTCCTCTGATGTATCCAAATTTCATGTTGACAACCCTTTGACAGAAATATTTGAATCAGCGACAAAGGTAATAATTGAAAATTCAATGGTGCTGTAGAGTACAACCGTAGTTTATCAAGATATGATGGTCTGGAAACTAAACAGAAGTCATTTTTGTTGTGTTTTTGTCTGAGTTGTAAATGTAAATTTGTGCATGGTCATGGTGATTGAGCTCATTGTATTTTCGTGTAATGAAGTAATTGTCCAATAAGGATAGCAGAGATGAAACGTATAACCAGGATGAATAATATTTTAATGAAGTTGAGACAAAGGATTTGTGCACAGTGAGGTGCAGTTCAACATCAAACAAAGGCCTTGTATTTTGTAGCTTTGAAGTTTGCCAGGCTTCCAGACCATCATATCTTGACAGATTATGGCACAATGTTATAATTGCTTTACAAGTGTTGCAAGTACATTCACTAAATTTGCACCATACAGTAGTGTATCTGACAGCAGGCCTAGAACAATATATTTCTTCTTGGCAGCAAAATCCAAAGATAAAAATTTCCCTGTGTAAACCAAATGTAAGACTTTATTATTTGCTGTACATATTTTTTTACTGTATTAGATGACCACTCGACCGTTTCCAACGGATGAAGATAAAGACAGAGCAGAAGAGCTTAAAACTCAAGGTACATTAATTTTCAATCCATTACAAATTGCTTGTTTATTTAGTTTTTTTGCAGGTAGCCAAAAAAAAATTGCAGTTAGCCCTGCGTGGTCCAAACTTGCCCGCTTCGCTTGAAGTTTGCAAATTGCAAGAGGGGACCAGGCAGCGAAGAAATCGAAGAAATGTTGTTGAGTTATGTTTCATATTGTCAAAATTGAGTGTCCACTAATTTGCGCAAACCCAATTGCTCGAAAATCTTTATATATCATACCGACAAGATTGTCGGCTGCTGAATAAAATTCGGCCACAGAACAGGAAATTTTAAGTTTTTGATGTCATCATTTGATGAATTTACGTCTTGGAGTACGACTCTTAGTTAATCTGGTCGGTAAATATTGCAAAATGTGTTCGGAAAAAGTGAAATTTTCTACTTTACTTAAGCATGCATAAGACCTTCTGACCAAGGATTGCAGTTAGCTTCAGGCACTTGCAGGTAACGCCGCTACCTAGGATCCCAACGTCTGACAAGCATGATTATATATTATAGTACTGCACATGTTAAACGGTCTGTACAATGTACAATGTACAAACTACAATGCACATACAATAAAACAAATTCATTGCATTTGAATGGATTTTGTAAACAATTAATGCAGATATATAAGAATAAGATATATAGGAATAAATATTATGCTTTTATTACTTGTCTACTAGGAAATAATCTAATGAAAGAAGGAAAGTACGGTGATGCAATTGGCTGTTATGACCAAGCTGTAAAACTAGACTGGACAAATGCTGTATATTTATGCAACAGGTATACAAATGTCGTTGTTATGCTCAGTCAGTTCTATCAATTCCCACCCCAGGCTCCCCAGTTATTTGCACATTTTTCCTCCTTAAATGCACAATTCCCTGGAGCCGGGCAAAAATACTCGCCCCCGACGCACCGATTCCCCAGAATACGAGTATAACTAAGACACAGAATAGGATCCTTAGGTGCGATTTTCTTCTTCTGATGGATGTGAATGAGTGAATAAGTAATAATGTTCAGGGGCCGGTTGTTCGTAGCCCGTTTAGGCTAAACGGTGGTTAAGTCGAAAATATTGATCAAGTTTATACATTCATCAAGTAACCAAACTAAAATATTTCAACTTGAGTAGAACAATTATGTTTGCAACTATATACAGTATTTAGTGCATGAGATTTAAGTTCAGTCATTTATGAAATCTGTGAATCTGTTATTTAATTTTGACTTATCCACCGTTTAAGCTAAACGGGCTTCGAACAACCGTCCCCAGATGAGGGTACATGCACTCCGAACATTACGTAACTCATCTACTCGTTCACATGTATCAAAAGAAAATCGCAGTAGAAATTGCAGCAAAAATTGCAAGTGAAAACATGTAGGCCTTTACAGAAGGTCGACGTCACAGAATAAGGTACACAGAAGGCCGTTTGGCGTAACCCGTAATTCTTCATCAAATGCTGACGCCATGGTCCTAGCCAGTGTGCGTTTGAGAGGCATTCACCCCCCTGCCTCTCAAACGCGCACTGGCTACGACCATGGCGTCAGCATTTTGATGATGAATCATGGCGTGGCAGCGGTTACTCGAGTCGACCTTCTGTGTGCCTTATTCTGTGTCGACGTCTTGGTTTTGCGTTCAGGGGGTGAATGCCTCTCATTATAAACGCACTGCTAGAAACATGACGACAGCATTTTGATGACGAATCATTGCAAATGATGGTGTGGCAGCGGTTACGCTTTTTTGGCTGAGTCGACCTTCTGTTTGTCTCTATTCTGTGACTAGGACTATGAGATTCGTTTATTTGGATAGTTATTATGCCATATTCTTCAAGTCTCGTAGCCGTGGCCAAATTGACAACGGGATTTGTGAAAAGTGCACGCCAAAAAGATTAAAGTTTTAAAGCTGGATTTCCACTTACAGAGAAATATTCGCTTGATTTCTTTTGAATTGTGACTATCCGAATAAACCAGTTCTACTCCATTTCTTTATTTGTCATAACGCCATGAAAAACAATGTTACTCTTTAAGGGAGACTAAAGACCAAACGTTCGCAAAATAATTGGTTAATTAATTTGAAATTTCAGGGCAGCAGCATGTAGTAAGTTAGGCAAAAATGAAGAGGCCGTCAAAAATTGCAAAGAAGCTTTAGAACTTGATCCAAAATATGGCAAAGCTTATGGTAGGATGGGGTAAGTACATATTTGTTCGCAAAATATCAAAAAAATACGAGACAAACCAGACAATGGATAAATCAAAAGTGGAAGACAAAACGTTTTTGATATTGATATGCATACAAATTACGTAAAATTTGACCATGTAAAATTGAGAATACGGTAGCTGGGAAGCACTTAACTACACGTTGCCTATCCAACATATTTACTATTTTTTGTTGAACTGCTCTAGAACGATACTGTACTCTCATTTTTAAGTAAAACAAATATTTGCTCATGAATTTGAGTATAGTTTTACTCCAATTTTTGAGTCACTGTGGCAGGGTGCGATGATTCAAGATTTTCAGTCCTACTCCAATGATTATTGTCTCGTACTTGACAGGGTTCGTAGCGGTCTTTGAAATCCTGAAAGTCTTTAAATTTGAATGCAGGTCTTTAAGGTCTTTTAAAAATCTTTGAATTGTGTGAAAAAGCGAAGAAAGTCTTTAAAAGTCTTTAAATTCTTCAGTGAGTATTTGATTATACGATTTTCTAGCTGATAAAATTGATTGAAGCAAGATTTTCGCAAATATCGAAATGTGATTTGACGGGACTAATTACCTGGTAAAAATGGTCCTTATACACTCGCAATTTTTCGACAGCTGATTGCTCTCAAAGATCTTTGAAAAGTCTTTGAAAATAGGCAGAAAAAATCTTTGATTTGGTCTTGGACACTACGAACCCTGCTGAGCTGGTACAAACTTAAGACTGAAGGTCTACTTAGTCTTTAAAATGAAGTACATAAAGTACAAACATAAAGTACAGGTTTCTGGAAGGTATTCATTAAGTAACCTGAAACTACGAGTTAGAACGTATGACTTTTTAAACTAATTAAAACTTTTAAACTTGTTGACTTTTAATTTCAATTACGGATTTGAATACTTTGGGCTTGGTAAGGTCATATGATACCAGCAAAATGTATGTATGCGGATAGCGAGAGTTCCGCGTGTGAGCGTGTCTACGTGGTGACTGGTTAAAAGGCACAGTTCAGCCTTTTGAATGATGGTTTTTAAGGCGAATTTCAGCCCTTCCAATTGAAAAACTATTAACTAGGAAAATCAATTATGCATAATTCAGGATCAGTAAACTCAATGTTTTTAACAATAAAAATGTTTTAAAATATTAAAAACATTAAGTTTGCTGATCTTGAATTATGCTTGAATGATTTTCCTAGTTAGTTTTTTCAATTAAAAGGGCTGAAATGCGCCTTAAAAACCATCATTCAAAGTCTGAACTGTGCCTTTAAAAACAAAGAAGTACCAGGCCATAATATTGGCGTACCTCCGTTACGTAAGTACGCGAATCATCACACCCTATGTGAATGCACTATTTTACTCATGTTTTTAAGTCAAAATACTCAGGAATTTTTTGCAGTGTATCCTCATCTACAGTATATCTTTCATGACCTAACCTAAAATTATAGTCAAGAAGAAAAAGGGCCAAGAAAAACGACGTGAACTTGTACTGATGATTATGGATTGATTGCAGAACCAAATTGCAGTTTTTTTCGACAGATGCTAAATTGGTTGGACATTTTGTCCTGCTAAAAAATGGCAATCACTTTTCTTTTAAATTTTCCAATCAAATTTCGTTTTACATGCATGGTAGGACGTTTTCTCCGGACAACATTTGAACGTTATTTCAGGCTACGTTCACACCATACCGGATAGTTTTCCGTAGCGACGTGAAAAAACAGCTATCCGTACCATTTAGGAACACTATTTTCAGAGGAATTATTGCAACGGAGAGATGTTGTTTCGCTCAGTTTCTGAAAGTTGTACATTCCGTATCGGATAGTTGCTTTTTCGCGCCGCTATCCGGTATAGTGTAAACGTAGGATAGGCTCTGGATTGATTAAAACTGCATGATCACAATAATAATTTTTTTTACAGTACGGCGTATATGGCTTTAGAAAAATATCAAGAAGCTAGAGACAGCTATGTTAAGGTTTGTTTTACATTTATAGTCGATAGTTTTGCAGACATTCACTGCTCTGGCGGCAGGCGCGCGGATTATTACATTTCAGTCGAAATTGAACTCCTTTTATAAACATTGCCCGAGTGATATCCCGTACCCAACTGTAAGCTTCTGCGTTTCAGTATCCCAAGCCATAAATAATGACAAGTCCCATCCTCGTCCCCAGGGCCACGCTCGTTGCTCCCACTGAGCGAGAGCAACGAGCGTGGCACTGGGGACGAGGATGGACAAGTCCCTTCAGACTATTTCGACATTGCATGCTTTTCAACATTGCATGCTTTTTGCTCGCTAATGACTTCTGAGTGCTCTAGAACACCTGGTCAAATTGCTAGCGAAGACATGTCTGATATTAAACATGGTTGCCATGAACGAATAAACTTCAAATGATGATATTATAGGCAAAAGAACTAGATCCAGGCAATGATCTATACATGACAAATTTGAAAACAGTAGAGGACAAACTACGAGAAGCCCAAGAAAGATCGTCATCTGCTTCACAAGGAACTGGTTAGTGTTGCTGAATATCGTATATCCGCACACCCCCCTCCCCCCGCTCGCCTAACCCTAGTGTCCGCCACATCGAAAGGTACAATTGGATAAATAAAATATGATTACTACTGAAGTCCACGCAGTTCATCATTCTGAAAAACAGATTGGTTAGAATAACCAATTTGAATTGGTTGGTGCACTTGTTTGACCAATATTTTATTGGTTAAAACAACCAAAAATTGGGTTACGTTATTTAACCATTTTTCGGTTGTTTTGATCAAATAATATTGATCAAAGGAAAATGCATCTGAGGCAATGAATTCAAATTGGTTATTTTAACCAACCCGTTTGCATCATTTTGCATGTATGTATGCATTAATTCCCGAGCAAGCGTGCGTCAAAATACTGTATCTTTACTGTATATAATGGATACAGAACAAATAGCCATTATCATATTTCCCTTCTAGGCGGCGGACCTGCGAATATGATGAGCTCATTATTTTCTAACCCTGGAATTATGAACATGGTGAGATATTGCCTTTTCTTTTATTGTCTTTGCCGAAGAATTTGATTATGAAAACCATCTTTGATGATAAGTCTTCCTCACAAAAGATTGTTTAAATAAATAAATAAATTACTTTAAGGTGGTTATACCTACACTTTTTAAAAAATGGACGATTTTCTGATTTGGACACGAATTTCTGGACAATAATTATCTGTTGAAAACCAAAGAGTGTCTGACTTGAATAAAACAATAACTAAGGAGTTCAGAGTTTTTAAACATTTCCTCCTTACAACCGTTGCTATGGCAACAATGTTTCAATTTGGCGGATATTTTTGGTTTAAAGTAATTTAACTCGAAAATAAGGTCGGTGACCCCCATTTTTTATTTTGTAGCATGATATATTTTAGTATGTTGAATAATTTTCGTGATTTGAAAAAAATTCTGTCATGCCAAAATGTTTCAAGATCGGAAAATGTAATAATTCGCAACAATAATGATTCAAAATACTAAACGGATTATTTTTATGAAATAAAAAATGGGGGTAACCGACCTTATTTTCAAGTTAAATAACTTTTAACCCAAAATATCGTCCTTATTGACGCGTCATTGTTGCTATAGCAACGGTAGTTCTGGTTCCATTTTTTCGAAAAAATGCAACTTTGTAGTAATTATTTTTCTAATCGGACTTTCTTTGTCTTTTAACATATAGGAATTGTGAAAAACTGGGTCTAAATCGGATATCATAGATTTTGTTTATTTTTGTATCTACAGCTGATAAGAGAAAGATAGCAGAGACTAGAGAGGTTCAGATTTGACTTCCACTGGTTTAGAGTTAGTCCGCATCTGATTGGTTAATCGGATATATGAAACGGATCTGATTGGTTAATAGTCCTTTAATGGTAGCGGAAGTCAAACCTGAACATCTCCATTATATAGTTGCAACAGTTTGAAAGCATAATCATATTTTTGTGTATCTATATATAGGCATCACAGTTCATGGCAAATCCACAGATGCAGCAAATGTAAGATTATTTTTCAAAACTGTGTGTTTGTTGACATTCAAGTTGTATCTGTCAGTATATTGACTTATTTATAGTTGAATAAGTTTTTCCCCCCCAAAACGTACATGAGCCGTGTAGTTTTTGTCCAAAGACATTCGTCTGTTGTTTTGCACGATACGGTACAAATTAGCACGTCAAGGAAAACGTTTAAATAAAAAACTTGTTCTTTACTACATTGTTGTAAATTAGTTACTTGTTTACTTTTCAGTTCTTTACTTCTTCTTTTCTTGCTAGGATGACTAATATGATGTCAGGTTTCGGTGGCATAACTGGCGATGATCAATCTGCAGGTCAGCAACCCCCAAGTCAGCCTGCAGAGGGTCAGCCTGATTCTGAAGCCACAACTACACCAGAAAGTAACACTGGGACTACAGGGACAAATCCTGAAGCAGGATCGGGGACAAACCCTGAAGCAGGATCTGGTGCAGGAGGATATTCGAACATATTTCAGTTGTAAGTAATATTTTTGTAGTGTTTTCAGACAAAATTACTGCACAGACAAATTTGGCTAACAGTGTTTACATCATTTGCTATGTTGGTGTAATGTAATCAGGTGAATAAGATGCTTGTGTGATGTTACTCTGAGTGTGTATCCACACCGGGAAGGCTTGAAAAATATGCCTGGCCACAGTGGGAATCGAACCTACGACCTTTGGATTACTAGCCCAACGCTCTGCCAACTGAGCTACGCGGTCAGGTCGGTTCGAGTATGCGATATTTCGGAACTGAGTCTAGTTCCTTCGTTATCAGTGTAATCTAATAATCATGACATTTGCTGTGTTGGTGTAATGTACTAGACGCAGTTCCGAAATATCGCATACTCGAACCGACCTGACCGCGTAGCTCAGTTGGCAGAGCGTTGGGCTAGTATTCCAAAGGTCGTAGGTTCGATTCCCACCGTGGATATACACTCAGAGTAACATCACACAAGCATTGTTTACATCGTTGCTACCCAATTCACAACACTTCTGATAACTCACATAGTGATTACTTAGTTACCATTTCTCAAGTTTACAGAAATATAGTATAGAAGAGATCTTTTTCATTTGATGTTAAGTTAGCCTGCGTGCAGGCCCAAGGGAACTTGATAGTGGGCCTGCAACCATCACCCCATGTTTTCGATTTTCGCCGGCCGAACCGCCGGCTAAATTCCCATTGGCTAGCTGAGGCGATCGGTAATTAATTAACCTAGCCCATTGTGCAGGCACAAGGGAACAGTGATTCATCACAAAGGCATAGACAAAGGCTCTCGATAAGCTTAAAATTTGAAAATTGATCACTTTTTTCGATTACAAATGGAACAAGAACAGACTGTTTATTGTTTACTTGAAGGAAGACATGTTTTTGCCGTTATGCCAATGGGGATTGCTTGTCGTGAGGTGTTGGAATAGCAACATTACGACTGGGGTAAACTATAGTAACCTTTACTTGAGTTTCATTAATTTCAAACAGAGTTCAGTTGATACGTTATGTGTTCTCACTTCCTCAAGAAAATTATCTTTTGGTTGATGTTGAGATGCAGTTGCATGTAAGAACTGTAAGCCTATTCGAAACACTTTGCGATTTACAAGGCTTCGCAGAGAGCGAAACAGAAGGCGGTATTAAATTGCCGTTTGAAACGAAACGATCTGGACTCGGAACGCTCTCTTCTTTTGTAGAGTTCTTTACCAAATGAAATAAATTAAATAAATTTCGTACTTTCCGCCGCCAACAAGAATTGCACACATGATCTGATAAGTGAGACAATTTATTTATAACAATGCCAATGGCGACAGCGAAGCACACATAATATAAATCCTAATGTGGTCGCACGACTTCCCTCATGATTTGAAGTTTGAGACTGGTTTTCTGTTGAAATTCGTCCTAATTTGCCTGTTCCGATTTTAGTTGAAAATGAGCACTTGCAAATTTGGCAATTACTTGCGTTGCTTGCTTTTTTGGAGTTAAAACGCAGCCATTTACACATTGCTTATGTTCTCAATAACCAGAGAAAACCCCGCAACATTTTAATGCGAGTTTGTTTGTTAATATTTGGGTGCTGTCATTGGTTCTTTTTTGACAATTGACGCGCGAATGGGGCGTGTTATGAAAAGGGGCGTATTTCAAAATACCGGGCGATGATTGCAGGCCCACTATCAAGTTCCCTTGGGCCTGCACGCAGGCTAATGTTAAGTTGAAGAGCGCTTTAAAATAAATTTCCCGCCGTTTTTAGTGCTTCCCAGATGGCACAACAGTTGCAACAAAGTAATCCAGAGTTAATAAACGATCTTCGACAAAGTATGCAGAATGTCGCAGGAGGGAATACAGAGCCAAATCAAAACACAGATGATCCAAGTAAAAACGGTAAGGAATATATATAGCTGAAATGTGGAGGATTGATTAGTATTATGTTGGGTACAGTATATAGTGATGCAGCGATATGGGAATATACCAATATTCCGATAATCGATATTCAAGGGTCGCGATATGGTCGTGGCTAAAGGGGATGGATAAGAGGCAGGTTTTCGAGATGGCCGCCAGTTTTTAAGATCATGAAAACGTAAAAGAATCAACAACCAGCCACTTGCAACAACACTAAACCTTACCCTCACCCCACACCTAATCCCCACTAACCCTATATAATACTAACGCGAACCATCTCGTAAACTACCTCTCGTCCATCCCCTTTTAGATATTATACCGTCAAGATATTGGCCGATACCGATATAATTCTATTTCACTTCGCTGAAATTCACAAATTACAACATAAAATCAACCTATGATCAAGGGTCATCTATAATGACAAACGTTTTCTCAAGCATAGAGTACTTTTTTCTATCCTGTCCCAGAGTTAAACCACGGAAATGATAACAATGGATCATCATTTTCAAGAGCGTACATTGACCATTAACCCTTTCGTACGTAATTATGGATGAGCTGGGCAAACGAGGATGAGAGTTGCAATCCTTGCTCGCGTTTGACCGCCAACTCTCGTTAACTCTTATCAACTTTAAACTGGTTCAATGATGAGAGCTTTCGCTACGCGCGTGGTAATATCTAGTCGACTCTCGTCAACTCTTATCAACTTCAAACTGGTTCAATGATGAGAGCTTTCGCTACGCGCGTGGTAATATCTAGTCGACTCTCGTCAACTCTTATCAACTTCAAACTGGTTCAATGATGAGAGCTTTCGCTACGCGCGTGGTAATATCTAGTCGACTCTCGTCAACTCTTATCAACTTTAAACTGGTTCAATGATGAGAGCTTTCGCTACGCGCGTGGTAATATCTAGTCGACTCTCGTCAACTCTTATCAACTTCAAACTGGTTCAATTATGAGAGCTTTCGCTACGCGCGTGGTAATATCTAGTCGACTCTCGTCAACTCTTATCAACTTCAAACTGGTTCAATGATGAGAGCTTTCGCTACGCGTGTGGTAATATCTAGTCGACTCTCGTCAACTCTTATCAACTTTAAACTGGTTCAATGATGAGAGCTTTCGCTACGCGCGCGGTAATATCTAGTCGACTCTCGTCAACTCTTGCTTCCGTTTGACCGGGGCACGAGATGCGGACTCTGGGACAACTCTCATCCTCGTTTCACCCTGGAGGGCTTATCCATCCAGGCATAAGTAAACGGTCCCTTATCTGATTACTTCGAAATGACTGTTAAAGCCGTTTTCCACTTTAATCTAAACGTATCGTAGCATTTTCTTTTGTGTTGAATTCATTAGTTCCACTCTATCTACTGTTCAGGAAACAAAGAAATATGCTACGCTTCGGTACGATTAAAGTGGAAAACTGGCATAAGGTTTTAATGTTATTTATATTCTGATATATTCAGGAAAAGAATAAGTTACCAAAGGACAAGCAACACAGGGATATGCTATCATCGGGAATTCTCAATAATCGGAACGCAATAATTGATTCGTAAGTTTGGACGTCAGTAGCAAGTGCGGATAAAGAATGTATATCGCTATTATTCATCCATCCTAAGGGACGGGCCATTACAAAAGTGAAGGGAGGGGTGGGTAAAATCCATACAAGCAAAAACGTTCTGTAAAAAATCCAAACAGCCAGAAGGCGGCAGAAAAAATATTACAACACTACAAAAACATCGTCACCAAGTGAACCATAAAAATCCATGCATGGCAGAAACATCTCCTCCCCCCCCCCCTCGTTTTCTCTTTTCTAATGGACCGTCCTAAAAGGCTGTTTTGTACACAACCGTATTGTACAGAAACGTAGCGTATTTCCTCAGCACTAGGGTAAAATAATGACTTCAGCACAAACGAAAATGCTACGGTACGTTACGATTGAAGTGGAAAACGGTCTAAATCCTGGTTTCCATTTTGTTGCGCCTGTCGCGAACAAATAGGGAGCTTTAGATTTGACTACGAGTACGACTACGAGATTCGTCAAGCTAAACGCATGCTGTATGCTTACGCCATCCCGTACTGACGCTAAAAAGTCGTATCCGTCGCCCATCCGAGTACGAAATTGTGGAGAAACCTCGTAGTCCTCACGACGACTTTTCAAAAAAAACAAAGAAAGTTTGCTTTTTTTGTTTTCCAAAAATAATTTGTAGCATTTATATAGCGTTTATCCGGCGCGAATAGTATATTAGTACTAAATATCTGGCCTGTTTTTAATGTTATGACTTATTTGCACGTTTTGTAGGGGATTTTAGTCAGCGGGAGATTTAGTTTATGAAACTTTTTCTCTCGTTGTTGATTTACTGTTATAAAAGCAACATTTGAATGGAAACGAGAACGACTACAGTGACTTCCTGGCACGCGATCAAATTTCGTACTCGTACTCGTAGTCAAATCTAAAGCTCCCTAATATAAAGGCTGAGACACACCGGACGCGATTCGACAACGCGGTGCGGTTTTTCAGTATTTGAAAGTTAATAAAACAGCCAATGAAAGGAAATTTTAAAAGATATATAGACCAAATAACTCAAAATGTTATAGCGTTTCTAAATATTTAAAAAGTTAAACCAGGATCAAAGTTATCGGTCAGAGAAAATCGAAAAATCGCGCCACGTTGTTGAATCGCGTCCAGTGTGTATCGGCCTTAAAGGTTCGGTCACACAAGGCGACAAGTTGCAGGGACTTGACGCGGGGATAAAGTTCACCGTGTGGCATGTGTGGAAATCTTGTCGCGGGAACTGACTTTTGTCCCCGCGACATGTCGCATGAAATCAAATGATTTTATGGGACTTGTCGCGGGTAAAGAAATCAGTTCCCGCGACCAGTTGTCGCCTGGAAATGTTGCTTCGTGTGACTTTTGTCAGGCGACAAGTCCTCGCGACCAGTCTCTGGGACCTTGAGGTAAATGCCATGCATCTATCTTGTGTTTTGTATGCTTGATGTCTGAGATATATAAATTTTTACATTGTGTTAAAGGCATATGGCAATAAAAATTAACTTTGTCTTATTTGGAAGAACTTTTAAAGTTATATAAGGTACGGAAAAGTTGTAAAAGGTATTCAGGCTTGGTTTTCGAAATAGTTTGACCAAAATAATTTATTCCGCCATCTTGGCATTATAATTGACCTAATTAACTGAGTTTTTGATGACGTCACAAGCAGGGTAAACTTGTTAAAACTTCTTCATGTGGGACTAAATTTCTTCGAAAAGTTTCTTAAAATGTTGCGAGTTAATTGAGTACTAAAAAGACTTCGGAAAATCGAGTTTCATATTGATAATGACATGTGGTTTGCAAGATAAAAATTTCGCTTTTTACCCTACTTGTGACGTATGCATATCGAATGCACATCCAAGATGGCGGAATGCACGCTGCTTCTGATCAAAATAAGTCGATTTATTTCGAAAACCATGCAAGATACGGAATCATTGTAAAGGAAGTTTATATATCATTTTAAATGTTCTTTCAAATTAAAGACAAACTTAATTTATATTGCCATATTCCTTTAAGGTACAATGGATTAAAACTTATTCATTACTTTGTTTCGTGCACTCATATAGAACATATTTAAAATATTCCAATTTATATGTATTTCGATGTTATGTGGACAATATGAGTTTGAACATTGTCAATCTTTCTATGTTTTCCACAAGAGGCTTTGGAAAATTAGATGTTTAGAACAAAATCTCGTTTGGGTAGGGCCATGTTTACTTCCACGCGGTTACACAACCGTTGAGCAAATTTGGGTTAGGTCGATCGAGGCTACTGACTGATTTTGAAAATTAGTACTATTATTGATTATTCGGTAAGGAGATGTCAACAGAGATATGAAGATGTTTTCATATTATTTCTAAAATAACAGAGAACAACGAAAAGCCTTCTCACGCCATGCAACCAGGCCACCATTTTGGAAACCAAAACGCGCAACAAAGGGTAACAAGTCAAGGAGTGATTTAGTGAAGTAAATAGCAATCATCAACAATAGTACTCATAAACAATAGTACTGTGTTTCTACATCACTAAGTCCAGTTTTTCCCTGTGTGGTTTGCCAACCGAAAATGGCGTTCAAGACTGCTCGCATGACGTGAGAAAGGCTCTCAAACGGGATTCGAACTCGTATCTTCAGGTTTCAAGACCGATCCGGCATTGAGCCAGTAGAGAGGTTAAGATACCCCGATTTCGGTGTACGTGTAGCATGATTTTGGTTAGCAATATTTTCGTCGATGTCTGTACCTTTACTCGTAATTAAGGTGCACATTTTTCGCATTATATCATTGTCTATTGCAAGAAAACAGAAAAAGTATGATCGAATTACAGACATCAGTAAAACAAGATGACACTACTCGTACCCGTACACCGAAACCGGGGTATCTTAACCTCTCTATTTATAGGAATTGGAAGTTTTGTCCAATTTGAATACAAGAAATATTTTCGTGACTTTAAATAATTAACGCTTGATTTGGAGTGTTTCAATCTATAATACAGAAGTACCCTCAAAGATATGAAATCTTTCATGATATTAATTCTAATATTAACAGTCAACAAGAATCCGCTTTCCGCCTGGGATATCAATCGCTGACGTCATCCTCCGAGAATATAAAAAGCCAGGTTGCGACTTCAGACTGGCCTATATCGGAGTGTCGAAACGATAGGTCGTGAATGCAATTCCACTGAATATTCCACTGTGCTTGGCATTTCTTTATCTGAAAACGAGACAGCGAGCGAAAACTAGGCTGCTCGCAACCTCGTTCCCAGGCTGCGAGCAGGCTAGCAAAAACATGAGTCGAAAAAAATTATAAATTTTCTAGAAGAAATTTAGATGCAAACAGAGTTTTAATCAATATCACATCACAGAATAAGGTACACAGAAGGCTGACTTCTTGGTTTTTCCTATGATTTTGGCGTGACCCGTAATTCGTCGTCAAATGCTGACGCCATTGTCCTAGCCAGTGCGCGTTTGAGAGGCATTCACCCCCCTGATAATATTCAAAATGGTGGACGTCCAGGGGGGGGGGAATGCCTCTCAAACGCGCACTGGATAGGAACATGGCGTCAGCATTTTGATGATGAATCATGGCGTGGCAGCGGTTACTCGACTCGACCTTCTGTATGCCTTATTCTGTAACCACATATCAATGCGTTGTCTCGGTATAGTGATTTTCTTTGTCTGTAATTATGCAACTGATAAAATTTTAAAGTGTTTCAAAATGACGAAACGCTGTATTTAATATTCTAAATTAGAGCACTTAAAATTATAAGACTTCCTTTTCCAAAAAAAACAAAGGAATATTTTCAGCTCACAGAATAGAACTAATACTAACAACGTTACATGCTGTTTGCATGATATGAGAATTTGCATGATGCAATGTTCACTCCTACGCTTTATTTAGACAAATGATAATCAGTTTATAAAATCATTAGTGTATTGTGATTTACCTTTGTCACTCGACGACATATGCTTATCACGAACGACACCGTAATGGCTTTGATGTTCTGTATTTTACACATAATATTAGTACTAAGCATAGGATATTTATTCAAGCATGTTCTAGAGAAAATAACCGATCCTGAAATCCGGAATTATTTAAATGAAATGGTATCAACGTATGAACTTTCAACATTTGTTTTTGAACTGGGTGTATTTGGTCGCGTGTACGGATTTAATGCTGCTTTATTGGCTGCATTTTGTTTATTAGTTGGTAAGAATTATAAAGTTTTATTCCAAGGAAGGACAGCGAATCCTTGTGGGCTGGTCGAATATTTATTTAAAAGGTCCAGAAGGAGATACGTATTAACACTGTGGTTTATGCAAATACTTGGGGCATACTTAAGCTATTTTTACATTTCATTGATTTGGAAATTATCTCAAAGCTATCATCATTTACAACGTTTGGAATATGGTTGGAATCCTCAGCTAAAAGTTGGAGTATTTTTTGGTTTTATCATCGAGTTTTCGGCAACATTTTTATGTCATTTTGCAGATTATGCCACTCGTAAGAAACGATATGATTCAATAAACCCTTTACTTACTCCTGCGGTTTGTGTTACCGTAGCATATTTATTCGCCGAAACTACAGGAGTATGGATGAATCCAGCCCTCGCAACAGCTCACTTATTTCAACTAAGAAAAAATCTAGTGGAAAATATTTTAGTCTTTTGGCTGGCACCCATTGTTGGTGCAGCTCTCGCATACCAATGTAACAATGCTGTTAATAATGTTATGCAATATAGAGTCAGAAAAGAATTATAGAGTTTATAGACTGGAACATGCATGTCTATGGAACTGGAATGAAGTGATGAAATCAATACGTACACGGGCAATTAATATAAATCTTCAGTCCAGTGAGCCCTCGAGATGAGCATCGTCTTCGCTGTAGGGGCAAACTCATTAAAATATTTTTTAATATAGAACCATAGATATCTTATATACACTAGATAGCGCATCTCATTTAGTAAAATTGAAGCCAAGAATATTCCAGCGGTTAGCCCCATTTGAATAGATGGCGGCCATGTTGGTCGTTCCCACTTGCTAATAAACGCTTAAAAACAACAATAACTTTCATTATTTGAATAGTTTAAAAACGTATTTGGAATAGGGTTAACTTAATGTTTAAGTTCCCTGTTTAAGAAATAGAAAACATACGAATCTTCTCATTTCATGGGAACGACCTGAGACTGCAATCACGGCTTCAATTTTTGACTGCAGAATAATTAGATGCACTATCTAGTGTATATGAGATATCTATGTATAGAACTCTCAACCATTCATGTTTTTGGTTAAATAGTGCCTACAAGCAGGCGTTTTGGGTAGGCCTAGTCTATTCAGCCACCCCCGCGCGTTTCAAATAAAATGGCTGCTTGTTAAATATTGACTCCAATTATCTAATCATTATGTTATATAACGCACATATTTAGCCGGCGTACACGCTATACGATTTTAGTCAGGTGCATGCATGTTAAAACGAAAAACAGTCGGTGGTATTCACTGATTGGGTTCATTGATTTTAAGGTCAAGTGTAACTGGCACAGTAACAACAGACTCGTTCAGACGTTGTTGCAGTTATAGCTTGTAGCTTGCACTGTTTAAATTCTACTACTTAATTTATGTATGTAATATACGATTGTGGTACTAATAAATTTCTTGTCTTAACAGCACTTGGTTAGTGCATGTGTTGCCTTCGCAGGTATCTCTATGGGTTATAGCCCGCGAATGGGTAGTTCGTTAATTTTTATCTAGACAAGTATGGACAAAAATTTCATTACAGCTTGAAAGAGCATCACAAAATTAGTGATATTCCGAAGTTTCATTGCGAAATGTTGAAATTGATAATCAGATGATCAAACTGATTATCAATTTCCCATTTGTAATACAAAATGACTGAAAAACGGCAAACTTCGCAAGGCTATATTATCCGCATTTGACAACATTTCGCAACGAAACTTCGGAATATTACTAATTTTGTGATGCTCTTTCAAGCTGTGATGAAATTTTTGTCCAGACTTGTCTAGATCAAAATTTCACTCAAAAGGGGAAAGGTCTCACTGTCCCTTATAATAAGGAAATCACAGGCGGGCGCGAGGAAATAGAGCCTGGGTCTCCCGTGATTTTCTCCGAACTATACTCCGCGTTCCTTCTGTACTAGACGTTAATATTTGTTCAGTAAGAAGTAGCTAGGGGTTACTTGTATGTAGTTTATTGGTACTGAATTTAACAACCAAGGTTTGAGTAAGAGAACGGATTACGACGACGAAGACATACGTGACAATTTTTGTCCGTCAGTGCATTATCTTGCGCATACTGAAGTTCGTTCGGCAGAAGAACAGAGACGGGATGTAGTTCATGTCTTGTTGTTTTTTTCTGGGTGAGGGTTAGGAGATTTGTCAGTGAGACATGGATCTATAACGGGAAGACACGTTGAACCAAAACTCCGTATATGCGCAAGATAATGAGCAGACGGGCAAACATTGTCAAGTACGTCTTCGTTCTTCATTGTCTTACTCAAACTCTCCAATCTGGGGTGAGATCATATCTGCAAAAGCATAGAGTACAGCATGTGCTGGCTCAACGTGGCTCATCAGTGAGCCTGACAGTGAATAGCTCCTCGGCTGCATGTTCATTGTGGCTAAAGTTAAGCCTAGGAAAAAGATTTGGTTATATTCCGATAGCCTGTTCACATACTGTATATATCTCTTAATTCTTAGTGTCAGCCACTGTCACTAAAACTAAACTTTTACACACTATTTTTACTGAGTAGCTCTACTCTAGACTGTGGTTAACCTGGTTTGAATAAAGTCCATTATTGCCATGTCCGTTAATAAGATCACGTTGAGAATGATTGTTTCTGATCAACGTTCTTGGTGAAAATATCATTGGAATGAAAGAAATCTTGCCACTCGACCAAATCTTGAAATAAAAATATGTCATCATATGGTTTCCTAACTGCTGACACACTTAAAAATCTTCCATGTTAAACAAAGCCCGCAGAGTTTAGGTTGGAGAGCGAAGTCGGATAGGCAGGGTGGATCCAGCAAGGTTTTTCTAGGGGGTGCTGGGTGAGCAGCCGAGTGTTTCTTTATAATTCTTCAGGGGGTGGTGGGAGAGCATTCAAATGAATTGGCTTCCTAACAACTTGAGCGCCGAAGGCGCGAGCTCCCTATAGGGGGTCCAGGGGTATGCTCCCGGAACATTTTGAAAATTAGAACCCTAGAAATGCCATTTCCTGTGATATGGGCATTGGGCAAATTATGAGCTTCAGTTTGACTTCAAAAAAGGAAAAACCTTGGAAATTATGCCATATTTCTGAATTTGATTTTTTTGCACCCCCTTGCACCCCTGTTGACAAATCCACCCCTGCGGAGAGATGTGGGATGTACCCTCCACCTCTCCCCCTTTCTAAAGGGCAAGGGGGTTAAAAGTCCATTTAATGAAAACAATAGATTAATTACATTTTCAAAAACGTAGCATTGGCCTTTGTCTTGATAACGTGGTAATAAACGGCACTCGAAAATACCGGATAAATCTATCAGTTTTGTTGAAACTGTTTTCTCTGCAGGTCCAACGAGATGAAACCGGATGTGACCAAAGACTGTAACCAAACTACAAACTCATGACTACCTTTTGTATGGGTATTGCAGTGAATAATTTCACCCACACACGCATGGTAAAATAGTTACACTTACTATGGATAATAATGCTCCTTGCATGAAATTCTTTTGAAATGACAAATCCCGTGGTTGACCATCAGTTGGTGAGCCATGAATAAAACCACTAGAGAAGGAAAATGAATGGTTGGCAAAGCGTTCCTGTATGAATACTAACACAATAAAATCCTACCTCGGAACCAAGTCAAATATATTTTCAAGATTTGTTTTAAATACAGGAATATAGTCTTGCGTATTTCCTTTATCATCTATCAATGAAATACCAAACATAAATCCATGAAATGGTTGAATACTTGTAATTGTAAAATATTATTGCTGAAATCTCAGTAAAGGTTATGCCTACCTTTTAAAATGACAGCAAGTCTTTCACCAGTTGGATCCCACGCCATATTGGTAACATATCCACCAATACTTCATAACGTAAAACACAAATAATTCAAACAGATCAACGAAAACAATTTAAAGTCTTAATGTAATGAACTCATAAATTCGGGATAATCAAGTAATGTCACATGCAAGGCTGCTACATCGATGAACCAAACTTTGTCTTTCCCAATGTCTTACTCATGCATGATTGTGCGAGTAAATTCTAATAGATAGTATACAATATACAGTACAAGATGATATTCGAGTGATTTCCAATGTCTATTTACCTCACTGTTTTACCATTTACTCCCCACGAATGTTCTGAAAGATCTGCACATTTTACTGCCATTTTTGCACCTCCAATGTTGAAATTCTCCATACCAGTATTTCCTTAATATATTATACCAGTAAAATGTTGTAATTATAAGGTATATGGTATGGTATGATATAAGGTATGGATGAACCTACGTCATGGTATGGTATGGTAAAGGTATGGTATGGTAAAGTATGGTAAAGTAAGGGTATGTATGGTATGGGTATGTATGGTATGGTAAAGTAAGGGTATGTATGGTATGGTAAAGTAAGGGAAATCGAGGTAAGATCAGATATGGAAGGTGAAAGTATGCTAAGGTAAGGTATACAGTAGTTAGGGAAGGAACAGCATGGTTAGGAAGAAAATGAAAGGTAAGGTTATCCTACATGGTAAGATAACAGAAAAACAAGCTTACCCACAGGTTCGCAAAATCTGAGATAGTATAGACTTTTTTCTTCAGCAACAGAAAATACCAGAAATTTACCATCAGGGCTCCAACACGCGGCCTATACAATAGTATAGGTTGATTAGCAGTTAGAAATAAATATTGTTAACGAGGATAGTAGATATGGATTATTTTAAATGCAGTCTACTACGCAAGTACTCGTCTTCATGAGCGTATTAGCACGAAGATATTTTCGTGGTACGCTTCACATAAATAGCGAAAACTTTTTGTTGTGGTGTATTGCTTAAAACCTTTCAGCAGCGAGGCTAGTTACCTGGCATTTTGATGCCAAATTTGTCCATTTTTCACAAGTCCATTTTTGCGTTTCCCAAACTCTGAATATAAACATAACGTAAGTATGTACCCGTGTAAAGCAGTAAGGTTTTGTAATGTTACTAGATTTACTACCCTACGGGAATCGATTCGAGTCGTTACAAATTAATATATTCCTCACACAAAATTTAAATTTATGTAAGTGTAAGGTACTGCACATTACCTGATGAGTGAAGACTCTGTAGCAACAAATATTTTGGTGTCACAAGGTGACCATGTCACGTGTGATATCGAACCTCCAATACGATGGAGAGCTGTTCCACATTCCATTGTTACGTCCCATACCTGAAAATGAAAATATAGCACTGACAGAACAGGAAGAAATCCATCTTTAAATTAATTCTTGAGAATGCGAGCTAGAACCTAGCTGGGGCAACTGCCCCCAGAGAAAATTAAATATTATTTAGTATTAGATAGTGGTAAAGAATTTGAAGAAGGAAATACTTGGAGGAAAGACTTCGCAATTTACTCGCTCGCTAAAAACTAGGGAGGAGATTCTGAGGCGGATTTAAGACACAATTTGGGACAATAACGCTAAGTTGAGCGGCTTTTTCTGGCAAGTCTACCTGAGTAATAAACTTGATCTAGCGACCAATACATGTGAAACAACTAACCATCATAACTCCACTTGAGGCAGAACCCGACACTAACAGTCTTCCACCTGGACTCCATGATAACGAGGTTATAAATGAGTGTCCCGGATGTGTCAAATGTTGAACTGAACTTGCTCCTTGCCTTTACGAATGAGTGCAAGTATTTTAACATATTAAATAGTCACAGGTGTTTTGAAGGCTGACCTAACCTAAGTCTTACAGTATATAGCTTTTTCGCGAATTTCGCCTTCGCAAGATTTTACTTGGCATGCATAATGTAATAGTCTTTTATGAAACCTAAAGTCTTCGAATGTAAAAATAGTATTAGAGTATATTAATTGTTTGCATCTTTTAATGAAATATTAATCTAGTCATTGAGGTCTGTTTTCTACTTCTAATGTAAACTTTTCAACACCATAGTGTACACCCCGGTGACGGTGTTCTGTTGAGTCCAAAATCATGATTATTAAAATGTCAAGTACAAGACTTGAGACACTATATCGGGTCCTGATCGGGAAGTCCGTAAACTGACTCATGTATGTGAGCGAGAAACCTGGCAACACCGTTGAAAAACGTATCCGTAATTGAGACAATAGCAAATGCACATTACAAGTTCCCACATTGCGACTACCACGAATTTAGAAAAATAATATCACACCTTAGAGCTGACGAGTGTTGATTGATCTTCCAAATCATAACTCCATTTTGACACCCAACAGCAAGTACTGAAGATGATAATGGTCTGAAAAATACAGTGAAAATGATCAAAAGCATCCTTAAAATTCCTCATTCCACTATTCGTTATCCTGCATCGTTTTAAAAATTTGGATGTGCAACATTTACCTCCAAGCACAACAAGAAACTGCTTTCTGGTATCTGTGGTTTAAAAGTTTTGTAAAGCCCCTACAAGTACAATATATACTTCAGTTTTTAATTACATTGCAGTAAATTACATATGGAATAAATCTCGGAATAAATGATAATTTTAAGAGGTTGTCTTGATCTATTAAATCATCTTTTGCGTGGAATTTCTTTGGAAATAACTTATATTAGTTTGATTGAAAAGGAATTCTCATGCACTCAAAATTGTTTTTAGTTCATACTGTATGATATGGTTCGGTAAACCGCCTCATATATTTATCTTATATATAATTATATGTTTTCGAGATTTGATTAACATGGGAACTGGGCTAGCCCGGTTTGCCGAGCTCATATGAATGCACTAATTCATACGAGCTCATACTAAACGGGCATTCCGGCAAACTGGGTGGAAATCGTATAACAGCGCATGCTTTATTCCGCCTAAAAACTGTCCAAAAAGTCTAAACAAGTGAGGAATTAACGGAATTAATTGCCAACGACAATGATAATACTTTGCGGAATAAAAACGAATTTTGTGTTCTCGTCCGCCAGGCTAGCAGAGACGTAGCAACCGGTCTGGCTGCAGTCCCCCCCCCCCCAATATTTAAGGGTTGCTAGCTTTTCAGACGTTTTCGGGGATTTTAATCTCCTCCCCCTCTTAATGATTTTCACAGCACAATCCAAAAGAACTTCCTACGGCAGTGGCTAGCCCGACTCATATGAAACAGTCCGTTAAAGTGATTTCACATTTTGATGTCACGTGAGGCATATTAAGGCATACAATTATATAGTGGCACCGCCTTGACAACATGCCTTGCGTGACGCCAAAGTGTTTATTTAAACATTTGAAATATTTCGCAGCTACACACTCACAACATATTCCTTCTCGTGTATTGAATTACCTTTTCACAATGAAGATTCTAATGGAATCATCCTAATTAAAAGTAAAAACACTAAGTATCACTTGCTTTCATTTACTTTAACAAATTTTTCAATTCGTCTTGAAATAAATATTATAGAGGTTCAGCCTTTACTTCCACTACCGCTATACCGCTACCATTAAGGAGCCATAAACCAATCAGATGCATTTGAACTATTCGATTAACCAATCAGATGCATTTAAACTATCCGACTAACCAATCAGATGCATTTGAACTATCCGATTAACCAATCAGATGCATTTGAACTATCCGACTAACCAATCAGATGCGTACAAAGCAAAGGTACAAAGGCAGTGCTTCCACAACCGTTTGTTCAAAAATCCTTTTACAATCTCCAAAATTCCTTTTTTCCCCAAAAATTTCCTTGCCACCCAAACGGTGGAAAAAATCAAGAAAATTCTGGCAAATTTGAGGCAAATGTATTATTTGACCCTACGAGACATCGAGCATCATTACATTGCCTGAAAATTTGGACAAGCTTTCAAGAGTTCCCTGCTTTCAAAAGTATCTGCTCCACATATATGTTTATGTTGTTCATCCAGGGAATGAGGGACGTAAGGTGCTTGATAATGGTGGAGGGGTTGAATGGCAGAAGGCGCTGAACGGCAAATTTTGAAATTTATATAAGTCCTAGATCGCCGGAAATGGCATTTTCAGATTCTTCTGTACCTGTTTTGTTGGACCTATAATATTTATAAGTTGATTTTTACTGGTTTAAGACTTGTAACTGGTATAAGTTACAGAAATCCTTGCAATTTCCTTTAATTTTTGTATTTTTCCTTGCCATTTCCTTGTAAATTTTATTTCCTTGTAAATTTCTTGCAAGGACCAATATTTCCTTGCTGCAGGGAAAAATCCTTGTAAGTGGAAGCACTGAGTGAAGGATAGTGGTAGCGGAAGTCAAATCTGAACCTCTTTATTTTGTTGGTAAGGTATGAAGAACTACATACCTCAAAACCAACGGCAAACTTCGTTAAATGTGGATGCCAGGCAAAAGCTTTTATGGGTTCGCTGCAAATAAAATATATTTAAACGTGCATAGTACTGTGACATATTTTTATGTACTTTTTGCATTCAGGTGTATTGATATAGTTTATCTTACCTCAAATAATCGAATTCCAAAGGTTCTTTGAACTATATAAAAGAAAAATAAAACAACGTTAATTGAAACATGCATGAGTGGCAAAGGCCTCTCGACATATACTCATTAGTCTAAAAGTCGATTGCAAATATATTGAAATATAAAGTTTGTTCGTTCACTGCAACCAGGTATATCAATCATGTTTCGCTCGCTACTCTGGTTTAAATAAATGATTACAAAGCCCAGTCGAATTGTAATCAAGACCCAACGTTTCGACACTCCAGTCTAGTGTCTTCATCAGGGGTGATCTAAAACTGCGATCGGCTTCTTAAATACCCAAGGGATGACGTCACCTGCCAAGAAGATGCATATATTCCTCTGGCAAATAGGGATGACGGTGCCTATTTGCCATAAGGGTGACGGTGCCTATTTGCCAGAGGAATATATGCATCTTCTTGGCAGGTGACGTCATCCCTTGGGTATTTAAGAAGCCGATCGCAGTTTTAGATCACCCCTGATGAAGACACTAGACTGGAGTGTCGAAACGTTGGGTCTTGATTACAATTCGACTGGGCTTTGTAATCATTTATTTAAACCAGAGTAGCGAGCGAAACATGATATTGAAATATTTTGAATTCTTACTTCTGAGTACAAATACGGGGAATATGTTATTACCAACAGACGTACCTGTTTCCTAAAAGCAAGTCTATCCGGTAAGTATTCAATCCATTTAAATAACGCGTGAAGACGTTGCGAGGTGGATGAAATGATAACTGGTACTATATGAGAATGAAAGAAGAAAGTTGCATATTAACTTGCTCTGACTGTCATACACTCTTACTAAATAAATGTAACCGGTATAACCTCTCTCACCTCAGTGTTTCTGAGCTTCTCAATAAAGACGAACTAAGAGAAAAGGGTAATGACTAAAAGGGATCCACAAGAGGAATTTTACAAGATAGTTCCAAATTTAAACTCCGAATTCACGCCGGTGTTGTGGTAAAAATTAGAGTTAGATTAAAGTTTAGGATTGTTGCTGCAGGTTGGCGATTGTTTTACGCTTTACAGTCAAAATACAAGAACCTTGCCACTTCCGCTTCTGTTAATCTGTTGACATTTTCTGTAATTTGTTCTGTATTACTGTGATGGTTACCGATTTATAAACAAATACGGCGATAAAATTCGAATTTCGTAGGTTTTGTGTTAAAATGCAGCAAATATGACGAAAAATGCATCCTTCGCTAGAAATTATCAAATAAAAACAAAGAAAACTAAATTGAGTCGCCATAGTTGCTGACAATTTGGTAATCGATACAGAAAAAATATCAATTTACAGAAAATGACAACAGATTACAGAAGCGGAAGTGGGAAGGTTCTTGAATTTTGATGGTCTCTAGCAACCACCAATAGGAATTGAGCCGAAGACGAAGCTTGAGATAAAACGCAGGAAAATAATGAGCCGGTGAATGAGGGAGACAGAAAAGCTTCTGCAGAGGGAAGTGAACAGAAAACATAAAGGAATGCCAAACAAATACACCCTTCCGGGAAGTACGTCACCTTTGCTATAGAGCCCAGTGATAGAGCCTCGTATTCGTGTACGTGACGTCATTAGTTAACGCCAAGTGTCACAAACGCGAGAACGAGGCTCTATAACCAAGGTGACGTACTTTCCGGAAGCGTGTATTATGCTAAATCTGTCCATGCATATACTGTACCTTCACTAGACTCTGTTTCACTCAATTCTTCTAAAACACCACTAAAGCCATCTGATAGCCTTCAATAAAGCAAATATACATAATAATTACAGTACACGTCTGATCTGCCAACAGGTTTATTTTGTGGTATTATAAAAATGAACATGAGGGAAGAAAATGATTTGTTCTTTCGCAGAGTTTGCCCGTGCATGTGCTCTGTAAATGCATTTGTAGAACACGACAAGTATTAAACCTCTCTGCAATCTGAGGGATGAGATGCACCTGCTAAGCTTAGTCTCAATACACACGCAATCATACCATATATTGTACAATCTCTGAGAAAGTGACTCTTCAACAGCTAGAAATGGAGATTCTGACAAACAATCTCTTGCAAGATTTGTTGGCATCTTCAATGGATCTTCAGTTGCTAACATTTGATCAAATCTTCCATCCTGTTGACGTGTTGATAAAAATGGAAATTAGGAATCTGAACAATTGTAATTTTCTAAGTCCAAGATAAACATTATAGGAGTCACGCACAGTCTACATACCGGGTGGCGTCCAAAAAATGTTCCCTCTCTTTGACTCATTGTAATTAAAATAAAGCTGTGCGCCGGAGCCGGAGTACCGGAGCTCCGGCATACTTTGCCGGAGCAGGAAAACTCCGGCAGACAAAATTATGAAAAATTATTTCATATTTCAATGAACTTTTGGTAATGGAAATATTAAGTTGAATGATTTGAAGTTACTATAAAGTTTAATTACTTGTCCCGATCCGATTCGTGGCTTCGAAAATTCAGCAAGCGCATTGCTAACGCTTTTGGATATAGATTCATGTCTTGCTGTTTATGAGTTAAGGTTAGCGGTTAGGGTTAGGGGGAGGATTAGGGTTAGCATTAATAAATAGCGAGACATGAATCTATAACCAAAAGCCTTTTGATCAGCACAAAAATCCGCTGACCCCGATGTATTTTGGGCGAAAATACCACGCTGTCTACAAAACATTGTTTAAACAAGCACCGAAGCACGTATATTTGATAAGTAAAGGAGAAAGCTCAAAAAGGAATAAAATAAATTCTGAAATTACACTGAAATACTTTCGCCTGCTTCCACTTTTAAATATGAAATTTCCTTAAAATTTCCTTGCCGGAGCCGGAGTCTTGAATGCCGGAGCTAAAATAGCCGGAGTTTCCACAGCTCTAATTTATTAAAAAACTGAAAAATATATCTTATACAAATAAAATTTATTGAACGTAGTTATGTCTAACTTAAATTTTGATGTATGCCTTGCACATTTCTATAAATATTATAGCCAAGATGGAGAGAGGACACTGACAAAATTTCTCACATTATCTAACTTTGCTAAAGTTTCACTGAATTTCCCAGATTATGGATTTCTATCCACAATCTACAGCTAATCTCATAGAAACATAATATACACTATACTGTCGTTGTTCAAAACATGCTTAGCGCCAATTCTGGTTAAAATTAACCACGTGTTTTGGTTTGTGTATTTCTGCACGTCCGTTTTATAACTTTATAAAATAACTATAGTTACAAGGGGCCGGTTGTTTGAAAGCTACTGTACCTCCTCCGCAGGCCTTTCTAAAATTGGCCAGAGTTTCAAACTTCAATTTCCAACCAGCAAACGAGCATACTCTGCCTTAGTTATGAAATTAGGTGGAAGCTATATATAGAGAGATATTCCGTATAAAATACTATAAGATGTTCAAAAATAGTAGAAATTTATTTGACTATTATGACAACTATGTACCCTTTTAAATAAATAAATATATTGAGTAATCTATCCACATTCTGTTTTTTCATTCACTTTCTGAAGAGTTTTATTCTACCAGCCCAATACATTGTTTGTGGTAACATCATATTTTATCACCGGTCTTTAATGGCCATGCAACCAGTTCATTATTAGATGCAGCCTTGGTTACTAATATGTACTTGGTAAGACTGCACCGGCTATACTTCTGCAAGGTGCACACATTGCTACATGATTGTACCGGACCGTAATTATTATTATGGCATGGAAATGCAAGGTGAGATAATTCAATATTTTTAGCCATACCTGACTGGTACTCCAACAATTTTTGCCGTGTACTTAAGCTGGTACAAAGTTAAAAGTCAAGGTGTACCTAAGGCTACTTCCGAGTCTTGCGTTTTACACCTTTCTGAATTTTATATATTTTATTTAATAAATACGTCTATACTAGTACGCAATATATCGCACATAAAACTAAATTCTCCACATTTATTCATTTAGTTAGTTCATGATAAGCATTTTAATGAATTGCTAATAACAGTAATAAAACTTAAGATTTCCAACAACGCTTGTTAACGCTATGTCCATAAATGGTTCAATGAGGTTAGGCTGTTAGCACACTCGGTCAAATCTAGTGTAACTGAGCGATTAGAGAGCGATGGCACTCGAGTCGCAACAATGCTTTGAAAATTGTTATGTTATGTCGTACATACCATTAAAGATTTGTTTCTACAAAATTGTCCATAGTTTTTGCTTTTAAACCAGTAAACCATTCAATATGATCTAAACGTTTTAGATAATTCGGAAATCTTCGAGAATTATAGTGAATCCTCCACTCTACTCTCTAATCGAGAGCATATAGCGTCTACTACGTAAACGCCAAAAACACTTATAACAAAGTTGACAACCTTGTTCGATCCCAAAATATGTCGGATGTGTGGAATCTACATGTACAATATGACGGTTTTGAATACCTTGGAAGGTTTGCTAGTTATTGCTAGAAGGAAAATGTAAGTACGCGAATAGCAAATTCTCGTGTACCTACGTGGTACTCGGCTAAAAACAAAGACAGACAGACCGTAATTTTGGTACCGTAATTTTGGCGTACCTCAGGTACGTTGGTACGCGAATTATCGCACCTTGTAAATTTAATGATTGCAAGCTCAGACATCTTTCTGTCAAGCTCATGAATTTTGATTCTCATATTTAGCTGTCACAACGACAGCACCAACTTTGTTTGTTTCCTGACTGGAAAGTCTGGAAATAGTGCACCAGAGATTTCAAAAATTTAAAAGTATATTAAATAGAAATAATCACAAATTCATTCCTGATATCTCAGATGCACGATTCAAACTTTCCACACTACGTTTGTTTGCAGCCATTTGAACTATTGAAAAAAAAAACATAAGCAAAGAGGAATACCTGTGGCGCGTTCAGTTTTTAACAAAATATAATTTTTTAAAACATTTTCTGCAGCAAAATTAGCATGCACTTCTTCTGTGTCATTGCACTTCTCCAAAGCATCAGAGAAGAAGCGCCAGTGATTTAGATAGAGTTGGGTATAATGACCCTTACAAAACATCACAGGTATACTGACTTAAACGTTCAACAATAAATATTTAAGAAACAACTAATCACAATAGAAGTGAAAGTTACATCAGCTGATCAGAAGATCGTTTTCGTATGTTTAACATTCAGAAATTGAGAAAAAGTCACACACACTTTTACACAATAAACTGCCACTTTTAACTGGAGGATCGTTTATTGTTCTCAAATAACACAGACCTATAAGCTATAAAGGAACAAAACAATTATCCCCAGAAAAAAGGGTTGTTGCTAAAGGAGAAGGATGAGAGGGAGGTTTTTCAAGAGGGTGACTAATTTTTCAAGATTGTTTAATTAAATATAAAAGAATGAGCTATAATATATTGCACTTATAACAATCCTAAACCTTAATTACCATAAACCTTACTCTTTACCCCTAATTCTAACCCTAACTTTAGCCTTAAAGTTGCATTGGGCCCTAATGCACCCTACTTTTAGTATTTCACTCTGTCTAATCACTAATGCCAGACAATTTTACTCATCAAGGGGAGAGTGTTGGTGCTGAATGGGTTAATCAGACTATATCTGCCCATGATCTACCGCAGCCCATTTTTATTATAGTTTTACTCTGCCTAACACCAGACAATTTTACTTGTCAAAGGGAGAGCACTGCTACTCAATGGCAAACTATGAGTTTCAATATCTTGAAAGCTTTACCCTGGCATATAAGGTTGTATGCTCTGTACTAAGTTGACATACGTTTAATCAATTTTGATGTACAATTTTGTATACTAGTTTTCGTGTAAAATTCCTGTATAGAAATGCGTTTGAAATGCTGGATTTAAACGATGTAAACAAAGATGGCGATCCAGAATTTAGGCAGTGAACTCAATGCTTCTAGATCAATGTTTCATGTTTGATTGTTATAAATATATGGATATTTCAGAATCAGGGTTAGAGGTTAATGTTCATTGTTAGAAAGGGGTAATGCATGAGTCAATACTAACCCCCACCCACCCCACCCCTGGGAAAGGTGGGTATTTGTTTTGGCCACCTTCCTAAAGTAGGCAAAAGCCCCCATAGCAGGGTATTACTTTCTCATCGAAACTCAACTTTATAATAGCCCAATAGCTGGGGCTGTTCCTTTTCAATTTTAATAGCAGGTAATACAAACAGATAGTGAAAAGATTATAGAAACAGTTTTATAGATTCTTTATACAAAAACTACAATTTGCAGCAAAACTGCATCAGTGCATGCTAGCTTATTTATTAACCCTTTAAGTGGCAATGCACCCTGATGCACCCTACTTTAGTATTTTACTCTTTCTAACACCAGACGATTTTACTCGTCAAGTGGAGAGTAGCCTGCATGGCAGGCGGTCCCTAAAACAGGGCAAGCCTGGGAAAGACCGCCTGCTGGCAGGCCTTAAAATATCTTTTCCAGGGCCGTCTGACAAAATGTCCGGTGACGTTGAGTTTGGGTCGGACATATGTCCGATGACCTTAAGTTCATTTTTGACTTGGAAATAAGTCTGAATGACACAAATGAATAAATGGTAAATGTTGTAAAAATATTAAATAATCTTTTTTGTTTCATACTTATTTCCAAGCCAAAATTAGCTTGCTTGCCAGCACAGCAGTATTAAAAACGACTTCGACAACTTAAGCCCGTTTTCCACTTCACCATTTCGCTCGCCGCCCCACGCTCGACCAAGTTAAAACAACATTTCCAGTTCACCTTTTATACAATAGTACTCTGATTTTCCATTTAACACACAAGCCTCTAGTCCTGGGCTAGGGTACATTTTGATTTAGGTCGGACAAAGCTACAGTTCGGTCGGACACGAATACACTCGGGTCGGACAAACAATAAACCTCAGTTTCACTTTGGTTGGACAGAATGTCCGGTGGTTTCCTTTCTACGTCGACAATTTCACGAATGGGTCGGACAATGTCCGTGACCGACCGATATTTTAAGGCCTGGCCTGCTGGGTTTGGCAGTGTAATCGAATTCCCTGTCCACCAGTGGATGGGAATTGATGATTGGCTGCGAGTCTGAGCTGCTGTCACTCAAAAGTGAATACGCTTTAATATGTAACATTATAGTATTATGTCCTACGTTTCATGAAGTGTTCGCTTAGCTGTTGTAAAACAGAACGCTTCTCAAAAGTCGAAACACGAACCGATTCTCAAACGCGAGCAAGAGATAGCAGTTAAAGATTTACTCCTTGGAAAGGATGTTTTGGCCGTTCTACCTACAGGTTATGGGAAAAGCTTGACTTTTACATTGTTCTTGTTGGAATGAGAAAATATGACGAGAATAAAATACAGATGGCGATATAGTCTATCTTGCAATGGGTTTAACAGGACTACAATGCCCAGGCCTAATTTACCCCCTTCACTTTCTGAACTTTTTAAGGCTTTCTTTACCACACGGCTTTGTTTGGGCACAGAGTAACATACAGATCTCAGCGATACTTATCTCAGCGAAAAAACCGTAAGGTGTTTTGTTTGGCCACCATATTGTTCTTAGCCAGTACCTGTACATGCACAGTTTATGTAAAAAGGCAGCCTCTCTACTGGACTGGCTAAGAACATGGCACATTTTTCAAAAAAAGCCCTTACGCTGACATCAAAGGTGCCGACATTTAAGAGAAGCCTCTGTATGTACTTACTCTGTGGTTCGGGAGACAAGACAGTTATTGGCAAGGCGTAAAAAAAATACCTGTGGTTCTGGTTTCATATCGTGAAAAAATTAGGGTCGGTAGGTCGGAAATAAACTTTTTTTTAAATATTTTTTTCATGGTTTTTTGGCGGTTTTTTGCTGGGTGATTTGCAGTAGAGTCCCGACATCAATGTTACAGGTAACTAGAGATGCGTATATCCTATGGACGAATTTAGGCAATTTGGTTCAATAATTAGTGTGACAACAGATGCCATTTTGGCACGCTGTGTGAGCAGCCCTCAACCACCTGGAGAAAATAGGGTCGCACGGTCAATCACGTTGAAAAAATAATAGGGTCGGCAGAAATAAATAGGTCTGGTCGGTCGGGAACTGGAACCACAGGTAATTTTTTTACGCCCAACTGACGTTGTACAATGGCCTATTTGTTCGATACGACTACACAGGCAATGTGTTTATGTCTGAAACAATTCTATTCAAATTCCCCTACAGTGGCTCAGACTCACAGCCAATCATCAATTCCCAATAACATGCAAAATGCTTCGAATGCCCCAGGGTCATAGGCCTAAACTCCACCTTTCTCCGGGGTGGGAGGTTAACATTGACTTGTGCATAACAGTTCAGCTCTGCTGTAGGAAGTGTATGCGATCGTACTTGTCTGAAATTCTTGGCGTGCACCAAACTAATTTGATCGGAGTACAATCGTACATCCGTACGCCTATTTTTTAAGCCCTAAAGCCCTGTTTACACTACGCTCAATTTTTGGTATGGCATGGTCATGCAGCCCCGTTTACACTACAGCTCTATTTTTGGTACCATGCCACTTTTTTGGTTCTTGGACTACCTAAATAGGTGCAGGGGGGTGCTACCACCCCCCAATATTAGCTATAACCCCCCCAAACAAAATGTCCACCCCTCCAAAAAAAATTTCAACCCCCCCAATATTCGGCATAATAAAAAAAATCAAATAGTCCACTCCAATGTGCAGAGTGTTGATGATACAAAATAAACGTAGGAGTAACACTCAAATAGAAAAAAACTAATCGCTCCTCGCTTGCATTCACTGATTTATTGGAGCAATTGTAAAGTTTTGAAACTCTATTATCTCCCCTGAATAGAGTTTTCAGTGCCTTGTCATGCAAATAGCTTGCTTGCAAGGAACGTTTGGAATTCTTACAAACATTATTTTTAGTTTTTAATTCTTTTAGGAAATAGACTTGCCTAGATTTAATCTTTACCCCCCAAATATGATTTACATTGGAGTTGTATCATAAATTGTACTCGGACTCAAACGATACAATGTCAATGACTTTATAAAAGTAAAAGCATATTGTGTATTGGCCTATTGGGTTTACACTTTTACAGGTTCATTTAACTTTAACTCCCTCAAGTCTCAACAGACAATCGGACATGCCAAATCCATTGATATGACAACTTCAAAAAACTTTTTTTCGAAGCTAGAAATTCAAATTTTTCCAGGGATAATTTGTTTTCTGCTCTCTAGACTCCCCCTCGCTGCTCTAGTGCTCCACCCCTAGAATATAGACCTTACTGGGGTTTGGTGACACTTTGTGTTGCTTCAGTCACCTGCTCACGGCTCGTACCCCCCTAAAATTTCTGGCACCACCCCGGTAAAAAATATGAAAATCCGTCTATGCAGAAGCGGCATATGCCATGGGCCCCGCACTTTTGGGGGCCCCGCGCTTACTCTCTTCTATTTTTTTCCGAATTTTGTTTTTCCATGTTTCAGTGCGAGACCCAAACAGTGTGCCAGTGTGGGGCCCTAAAGAGCATAAGTCCCCCAGAATATGTGAAGGCCCCAAAATTTAAAAAAGCGAGGCCCCATCAAGCTGGGCCCAAACGTTTTTTTGTTCCCTGTTTCAGTGTTTCAGCGCAGGACCCCAAAGAGCCCAAGGTCCCCAGAAAACGTCAGGGCCGTCAGGCCCCCAAAATTTAAAAATAGCGGGGCCCCAAATAGTGGGGCCTGAAACAGGTTTTTTGTTTTCTGTTTCACCACGGGATCCAAACGGCGTGGGGCCCCAAAGAGTCCAAGGCCCCTAAAAGCAAAGCCCCCAAATAAAAAAACACGAGGCCCCAAAGTTTAAAAAGCGAGGCTCCAAAAGCAGGGCTGCAAACAATTTTTTTTTGTTCCTTCTCTGGGCAAGGGGCTCCAGAAAGCGAGGCCAAAAAAATCATAGGGGTCAGAAAATACCAAAATTTGCAGTAAACTGTTAAATACTAAAAGATTGCTGAATTTTGTGGAAGACGGCAGGAGTTTATATGGACAGTATCATGTTTAGCTATTTTTCCCCTGTAAGTAATAATAATGTTAACTGGGTTGAAATTCAGTTTGATCAAATTATTGATGTATAATTCCTTCCGTTTGTAAATACACAGGAAACTTTTCAACGCATGATATACAAGAGGATATTTTTTAATCTTGTTGAAGTCAGTGTCTAAAATGCCGTTGGAAGGTTAGGGGGGGGGGGGCAAGGGGCCCCGCGCTGATAATATGCCACGGGCCCCGCAGAATGTTAATCCGGCCCTGACTGCGGCCTGCCCCGGTGCCCCCTGCCAAGATGATCATGGATATGTGGTACAAATCCTTACTCTCTGACTGGCCAAGAATAATTGACAACAATTATATTAATTGGGCAAGAATATCTACAATAATTAGTGATATACAAAAATGATTTTCAAGTGTTTCTATTAAATGCATTATTACCTGTCCAAACGTATACAAGCATGGTTGACATTCCCTGGGGTTCTCAGCAGTAACAAAGTTGGAATTGTATTCAGTGATTGTTATGGTATCTTGAAGACTAGGTGCAGGGAATACAGCTAAACTTGACATTTTTCCACTCATATACTATTAATACGAATATCCACAGAGTTCATAATAGATATAATTTTACTTGAATTTCCCACAATCCCACAACTGCTTGGTGGCCTGGCCTGTCTACACTAACAGTGCTTTCACTTTCAATGATCTATGATCTATCCTTAAAAACAGGAATTTGCCAAAGGAAGTCTAGCACTCTAACCACAGAATAAAGATCAGTAACAGAAGGGCCACTCAGCGGTGCAACATGTCCTCGTTTTTTTATGCAAAAATATGCAGTTTACTGGCCAGAAGGCGGAGCAGCCAGCCAGTACAGCGTGTTTATTGGCCAGAAAATGTCATTGACT